TGGAGAGGTTTCAAAGAACTTTAAAGAATTGGTTATATAGGGAATTTAGTGCTCAGGGGAGTTATAAATGGTTGGATTTACTTCCAAAGTTAATTCGAAAATATAATAATAAGGTGCATAGATCTATAGGAATGAAGCCTAACCAAGTGAGTATTTCGAACAGTAAATACGTGCATGAGAGGTTGACTTCTAAAGTAGTGCAAGTTAAAAAGCCAAGATATAAGGTAGGTGATAGTGTGAGGATTTCCAAGTATAAACATGTTTTTAGTAAAGGTTATACTCCGAATTGGACAGGGGAACTATTTACAATAGCAGAAGTTAAAAATACAAAGCCTGTGACCTATATCTTGAAAGATGAAAATGGCAATATAATCAGGGGAGGCTTCTATACAGAGGAGTTGTTAAAGACCAAGTATAAAGACATGTATTTGATAGAAAAAGTAATTAGGAGGAAGGGTGATTTATTGTATGTCAAATGGCTTGGATTCCCAAGTAGCCAGAACTCATGGATTTCCACTAAGGATGTCCAAGGGAGCGCGCCATGAGTCGGGAGCGCGCACGAGTTCGCGTGCAAACCTCGCACTGTCAAGTTGATGATTTTGTGAATATACATGCGAATGGATGTGGATTTGAAATAGTAATGGAGTTGTACAATGGTATTGAACATTTATATAGGCTTGTATAGGCCGAGAGCTGGATTTTTAAAAAAGTGGTCAAAAAAAGCTCACCATGTTATTCTTATGGGGAAAACGTGCCTAAAGTGGCTTCTCTTTCTGGGTTCACCACTACTTCGTTCATACTTCTGTCTTGATTTTTCAGGAAACAGATAAAACATGTTTTGCAGTTTCTGCTACATATGTCTTCTGGTGTACACATATATTCACAATCACTGAGTTAATTATTCTCAAACATGTTAGGCCCACTTAATTATTCTACTACACTTTAGGTTATGTTCAAACCAAGAAATGTACGAAAATATAATATAAACACGAAATGACAGGTTAAATCGTAGTATCAATGGTCAATCAGCTGATCATGGTAGCAGTATTTTCAAGTGTTGCCAACTTATTTCCAAGTGTACACGGATTACGTGCATAACTAGGGTTGCTTTCAGAGAGGTGAAAGCCAGTTGAGCGGAACAAACGTGATTTGATATTTGTATAAGTAACTAAATGCAAAAAGGTCAATAGATTTATTTACTAATGCTGGTTTTAAAGATTAAAATTATAATAATTCAAATTTACCTCTTCGAGAAGTGTAAGGTAGTTTTGACCAGGAAAATATTACAGTAGTTGGAATCTGATATTAACATCCAAAAAGGGCATTAAAGTATAAAAAAGAGAAAGGAAATTTTATCAACATTTGAAATGACTGAATTGTTACCAAATAACTGTTTCACAAAATGCAGATTCCATTTTCAGCCGAGCCATTAAAATGAGGATTTGCCGAACAATTATTAATATTACAGAATAGTATATAATGATATACAACTTTTCACATTCCATAAATTATATGTTAGTTTTGCTATGGTCAAAGATCCAAAACCAAATGTTCTCTTTTCTTTTGGTCAGTATGTAATAATTTGCTAGAATCATTGACTTTATATAAAGTCAAAGCTAGAATACTGTAGATGGTTTGTTAAGTTAAGACCATATGCAAGCATTTTTGAAATCGTTTCCCCGTTTAACCGTAACCAACTATTCCATTCCAAAAGATAAAAATTATATGGTGCAACACAAATAAACAACCCGATCACCTACCTATAACCTACACTTTACCTTCCTAATCTAACCTTACTTCAAAACACTTAATGTAGTCACGAATACTCATAAACCCCGACCTACCTCCCCACCTGCCTAAATTAGATCAGTGTTCAATCTGCGTTTTATCAATAAGTGTAATAACTTACTGTACCGTCGATGTAATTCAACTTAATATAACCTATGAGGTATTATCGGATTAAATACCGATTTCGATGCGGTTCGATATATCGCTTATTAAATCCTGATTTCTAACATTGGCTGTTTCTAATCAGCTGGCAACACAAATAGGTTCCCAAGAAAGTAGTCACCGGTCCGTATCCCTCCGCTCCTTGTTTATGCTCCGCGCATTGAGAAAGTAGTTCCGTATAATTTCTCGATTTTCAGTGAATTCCGCGCCTTAAAAAATGTTTTAACGGCATTTTCTTGTTTATTAAAATTATAGGAATGGTTTAAAAACGTTTAAAAGAAAAGTATAGAAAGTTCAGAAATACCTTATGATTCTCTTGTTTACATTTTTCTTGTAAACAAAAAAACTGTCATAGCTACTTTAGTCCCATAAGCCTAATGTTAAAAATTTGAAATTTTAAGTTCGTTTTAAATTGCATTAGCATTATCTAATTGAAATTTGTTTGTTTACAAACCATCTCATTATTAGTCTAAGTAATCTTGTTAAGTTTGGCTGAAATGTGTTCAGCCGTTATTGAGTGATGGTGTTATATTGTTTGCATTTAAGTTGATCCCAAAGAGCTTCGCTCGCTTCGCTCGCTCCGCTCAATAAAACCACGCAGTTTTGTGTTGTTTGTTGTTTGGTTGGAATTGGAATACTGGCGCCAAAGTATAAACGGTGCGACAAATTAAGTAAATGCAGCAATTAGCAGCTTTCTGTACTATAATCAGTGCAAGGAAGCCAATTTTGTCGGTGACTGTAGGTAGGAAAAAGAAGTTTACACCTTACTGTTAGGGATCTTCAACCATTTGATGTTTTTTTTTCGTTTTTATATTTGTAAATAATTATTACCGTATGGATATAAAATCAAATAAATAATCTATTCCAATAGAGATATTTTAATAGAAAGAAAATTAGGAAATAAAAATACTAAATGAATAAAAATGAAATTACGCAATAAATAGCATACTTAGTGGTTTAAAATAGTTTTGTCTATTTTTTGTACTTTTATATAATTGAAAACCAATGTTGATATCTAGTTATGATTTATTCATTCTGAATCGATTTAAACAGGCAGCTGTTACAAAAAAAAACCTATCTCTTATTGCAGAATTAGATGTTTTGCTACAATTATTTTAATAGGTATCATTCTGACTTTATTACTTCAACTTTCTGCCTCATTTAATTTGTCTCATTCCTTAACTTAAGCCCAGTCGTTATACTTTATTCACCCCATTAAGTTTAGATTACACAAATGCCTTATTTCCTTGTGTAAATGTTTATTTCCTTGAGAAAATTACGTTAAATGTTAAGGAAATTTAGATTTTTGACCTACGAATTCATTACAGGTTTTAGGATTGTAAACAAATAATGCTATTTACTGACATTGTATCTCAGCTTTGATGGATTAACCAGCGCTGATTAATACAAACAATCTGTTTAATTCTTGAAGTATACTTTTTACTAAAATAAAGCATTAATGTGTAGGTTAATACTGTCTAGTACCAAATGAACTCAAAATCCAAATAATATTTAAATAATTCTTTATTTATTTTTTCAAAATTATTTTCTGATACCATTTGAATAAAATATTGAATAAATACAGTCTCCTCAAAAAGTAAAAAAATTAGTATAATGCTAAGCAGCGTAAAAATATTACAACAATAAAACGTATTCTGAATATTTATTTAATTTGTTAACACCATAGGTGGTTCCAAACATTAAAAAAATAATATTCTACGAGTCAAACTGAACGGCAGCTACTTTCAATTGCTCACAGAATTTCGACGACAGGCAAAAACCAGAACATGTGTTGGCTGCATGGCAATGTAAAAAGTATGGATTAGGAGAGGAAATTGAGAATGGAAGTAAAAAACTGTAAAGATGAAGGGATGGGGAGAGGAGAGGAGAAATCCCTACTGACAGGGTTATGTTTGGTTGACTCTAATAATACTTATGACTACATCAACAAAAGACTCCCACCCTATTGCTATCTGTTACAAATATCTATTCTGTATCTTTATATTTAGCTTCCACAAATGCTTCTCTTGGTTTTAAATTACAAAGACTACATTTCAACTCCTTAATTGTATTTATAAATAGTGCATTGCTGAAACTAACAGTGGATGATTTTGTTGTATTTGATTTGCAAATGATGACAAGACACCCAAAAAGCAACACAAGTGTTAAATGCTAATAGATCTATTTTAGTAGACTGTTAAAAATATGCTCAATGGTTTCTAGTACAGAAAAACTCAAAATTCTTAGTACTAACTAAATGGTATACTGTAATACAATAGTCTCACAAACTTGGCGTAATGTGGACTGGAAGGGTGCCGAGTTTTTGAAAAGCCGGGTTTTCGGGAACTAGGGTTAAAAACAAGAACAGTACAATTTTTAAGCTTTCAACCGCCATTATTATTTGTACTGTATTTTTATATTACAAGTCACTATAAAGTCATCACATATAGTACAAAAAATCCTTGGTACCTTAGGAAATAAAAAAAATTATACTGTACAGCATATTTAACTCAAAAAATCAATAATTTTCTGAGCCAGGTGATGGCCACATTATCTGGACTGCCGGGTTATAGGGTGCCGAGATGATTGCGGGACTCTATTATATTAAAAAGCTATTTCACTTCAATAATAATTTTACAGTACTTTCTCAGGTTTTTATGCTTGAATTAAAGAAATATCAGTCTACACTTGAATGTTGTTTAAACAGTGACAGTCCTGAATAATTTTAGCAATCAATTGAGAAGTACACATACATAAAGAGAATTCATTCCCCTATGTTGTTGGACAAAAATCAAACTAGCAAAAGATAATCTATTTGTTTGTCAACTACCCAGTTAGCACAACTTCATAAATAATAGTATAGATATTTTCAGCTAAGGTCAATCCTACCAACATACTACATAGCACATATGTGACACTTACTTCACACAAACAAAACGTCAAGATATCCCACTTCCGTAGAGTATAAGTATATTTTTGATCAATGTATATGTGTGTTAACGTATATCAATATTAGATCAATATATTTATGTTCGTAATTCTATCTCTAGAGACAGAATGTCCCAGCAGTGGGTGCTAGTGGTGCTGGTGCTGGTATGGCAGACATCGGGAGAGCAGCAGCAGAAGTTTGCCATGGAGCCGCAAGACCAGACAGCAGTGGTCGGCAGTAGAGTCACTCTACCCTGCAGAGTCATCAACAAGTCTGGACTGCTGCAATGGACCAAGGATGGCTTTGGTCTTGGCAACCTCACCGGCTTCGAACGATACTCGATGGTTGCCAATGAAGAAGAAGGTGAGATCAAAAGGTTACAATACCTGCAGACTGCCTATAGTGGTCCTCGATCATCCAAAAGATTACACGTTTTGGTATTACTATACCATCCACAGATCCTTAAATATACAAAACTTAAATTTTTCGACACATAATTTCACGTCACGGTTTTTAAACACAGTCACAAAACATTAAATCACGAATAAACTATTAAAGTGGGCTAAAAAAACAACTACAACATGAAGAAGGTTAGAGTTTCTGTTTTAATTTTAAAATAGTCATTTTTTAGAAGTGTAGGGTAGGGGTTTCAGTAAACAATAAATTCAAGACCTCTACAATGGCTGGAATATTTGTTCAGATTTTTTTAAACCAAAATCTGCTTGACTATAGTTTTAACTTGATCAGAACCACACAGGAAAATCAAACACTATTGTTGAAAAGGTCAATGATTTCTAGTATTAATTTAAAAGTAAAATTGTTAAAGTGGAAATTTGGTAAATTTTTAACTACAACTAACCTTGTTCTTTGACTATCAAATCTCGATAAATTCAAACAACTGTTTCTATCCCTTCACAGGCGACTACTCTCTACAAATATTTCCTGTATTGTTGGAGGACGACGCAGTGTACGTTTGCCAGGTGGCGCCAGGACCAAGTGGTGATCCTCCTCTCAGTTCCACTGCTGCCAACCTCACAGTGCTGGTGTCCCCTGAACCTCCAGTCATCATCCAGGGCAGCCAACTGCTCACAACTGAAGGCAGAGACATTCGAGTGGAATGCATCTCAATAGCTGGAAAACCTCCAGCAGAGGTAATGGAACCTGCGTGCTTGCTTAAGCTGGGTTTTTAAAATGTGGAACACGGAGAGCAGAATGCAGAGAAGCGAATGATTTTCCGCTCCTCCAGTGGCAGTCCACTTCGTTTCTAGAAAAACAGTAGGCTTCATTAAATTTCCTAAGACAAGGGGAGAGCGAACTCTGCACTCCATGCTTTGCTTCCGTGCCTAGGAGAACCCAGCTTTACAAAAATTATAGATCTGCTTAATTAAGTAAAATTGGACCTTCAAACCTTCGAACCCTATTGTACTGTAAAATGTTTAAAGAGTAATAAAGATTCTTAATCTTATTCTTATTCTTCTTCTTCAACTCGACCCTTTCTTGGTTGAAAATATTATCAGTGACAATTGAGAGCAAAGCAGTTGAGACCGTCGTCCTTCTGAGTAAGGAATAAATACGGTCACATCAACTATCTGTCTTAATTGTTATCTAAGACCATGGGTAAGGGTGGTCTATGGGGGGGATGGGGGGTGTGTCATTTTTTATTATTCCATAACATTGGCGTACCTCCATGCACCGCTACAATCTCAACTGAGTCTACAATCATGTCAGATTTCACTGTGAACAGTTATATGTATTTTCTTTTTTCACTTCACTAGCAATTTTTCATCAATAACAAATCCTTATCATGAGCAATACCGAATACCGTATTTCACCATTCATGCTTAAGAGGTGTTCAATTATTTGGGTTTTCCATGTTTTCAGATCACCTGGATAGACGGCCTTGGTAATGTACTGCAGGAGGGAACAGAACAGTTTCATGAACCTCTGACTGACCAGCCAAAGTTGGTGACAGTTAGGTCGGTCCTCAAGATGAGACCTACCAAGGACCACCACAACACGACTATCACCTGTCAAGCTCAGAACATGGCTGACAGGACATATCGCAGTGCTAGACTGAGACTAGAGGTCAAATACGCCCCCAAGGTAAGGACAAAACATTTGTTAATATCTACATGTTTACAAGTAATCAAAGAGGAATATTAGTCAGTTTTTAAGTAGCAATTTCTACAAAGTAAACCTAAGCCCTAAATTTATTAATACTTTGTAAACTGAAGTTTTGATCGGTGATATTGAAGTTAAAATATAGTAAACTTATGGCACTTAGTCTCTAGTCAATTTCTGTGGAAAGGGTATATATTTAGTTTTTAAGATAAAGACTTGGAACAAAATACAACAAGCATTTCATTCCCCTTTACCCTATGCCAAATGTTTTAATTTTTCTACTCTTCAATCTACACATAAAATAAAGACTAAAGTTGGTGAAAGTGAGAGTGAAACTAAAAGTTCTTGGTCAGAGGTGCGATTTGAAAGTTAGCAGACTCTCAAACTAGAAAGCATGCTTCCACAGTCAAAGTAGACTTGTAAATCTTGGTCTTATAGGCGGAATTGTCAGAACTGATGTGGAGTTCTAGCTTGATTCAAAAATGGAGTACTGAAAAGCATCTGAAATTTCAGCCAATATTTTTGCCAGTTCAACCAGAATCATCTAAGACCAAGTATCGACTATTTAACACCTCATGAATTGTTGCAGGTAAACCTCGTAATGGTGGGCCAAGGATCAAAGCTGGCGGAAGGACAAGACGTTAGACTGCTGTGCTCTGTTAGTGCTAATCCTCCAGAAGTATCGTACCGTTGGTTCATCAATGACCAACTAGTCCTGGGCGATCCTGCTTCGGAACTTGTCCTGCAAAAAATCTCTCAGAAGGACCACAACTCCCTCATCAAATGTGAGGTGTCCAACATGGTTGGCAGGAGTGAGCAGAGTGAAAGACTCGATGTGAGCTGTAAGTATTCATTGTCTACTGCACTAACACTGGTAAAAGTATTCTAAACTTGTTAACCAGGTTGCAGCATATGTCATGCATAGCTTTCGAACGTTTTAGTTATAGATATTTTGTGGCAAGTCAGAAGTAAGTTTGGTTAAGTTACTCTTGTCTCTTGTGTCGGATATCCGTCTTCGGACCAGGTTCAGTTATGCAGAAATTAACTTAATTAGCAACTGCCTTTTAATTTGTCAATAATTGCTGGTTCGATCCTTAAGACTTCTTGATGATCTGTAAACAACAAATCAGCTGTCTTGGCAAGTAGCTATTCACCCATCACACACTAAGCACAGCTGTTTACCATTTCATCACAGTTGCATATGACTTCCAGATGGTCCCAGGTTCAGAGTGAAGCCCTACAGCGTGCAGGCCGATGTTGGGGCAACAGTCACCCTCACTTGTGATGTTGATGGAAACCCAAAACCAAACATCGTCTGGATACATGAGGACTCTGGCAGGGTGATTATCAGTTATTACTTTTCCAAGTCTTATCTACACAACTAACTTGATGATTTTAAAATGAATTAGATGTTTTTCATTGCTAACTCTGATTATCTATTGACTAAAAGCTAAAAGTAACGTGGTCCCAACCACTTTTAGCTGTAGCACTGGTTTTAATCTTGGACAATATTTGCAGCTTAAATTCACTACTTTTAGCTTTTAATTAGAGTGTACACAATAACACCACTTAGACTATTAGACTTTCGCATAACATTCGTGCCTTGCTTTCTATGTGCTGATAACCTTTCATTCTAATTTATTATGATTATGACCAGTTCTACAAAATACAAAAATAAATCAGGAAAATCATTGTACATTGAAATTAAAACAATACCATTGCAACAAATTTGTTTCAATTATCTAGCTTTGGGTTTACTACGTTTTAAAAGTTACTAGGTACTACCACACCTTTTTTATCACACTTTTTATTACACCATACAACTTCTATATTTTTTTAAATGCTGTATATTTCAGAGAAATTTAATGGATATGATAGATTATTCATTCTTGTGTTTAGAATGACTTTTCATAGCTCTTGTGTTAAGACAACTGTATAGGCCTATCAGTACCTGTTGAGTGTTAACTTTAAAAAAAATCTTTGACTAATTAATTGATGGTTGTTAAAACTACCCAGTGCATTTTTTAATGTATAGCCAAAATAATTAATAGTAGTATATCATACATGTAAATTGGCCTACAGATTAAAGATTACGCTGAGTTTATCATACCGAATATAAGTTTATTAGAGTGTCAATTACTGAAAATTTCTACAATTTGTTTGAAAGAAAATAGAAAATAGAACTTGAACATCATTAGAGCTAAGACATTTATTATTTTGCAGTACCTATCCCATTCCTTCTGAATTTGAAAGACATTTAAAAATTTTTTCAATATAAGTGCCACCAAATTCCCCATAAACTTTTGAAACAGACGATATAGTCCAGTTTAAGAATCACCTATCCATTACGAGATGAGTCAATAACGCTGTTGCTTCTGCTAATTTTCTCGTAGAACACTAACCTGCAACGTTGTAACTTCTCTGTCTAAGACGTTGTTGTTCTCCAACAGCGAGGCAATGTACTAACGTTTACGTGGGAACAGGTAGTGAGCACTTCCTCCAACCTCACAATCACCGTAACTCACGAGTCTGCCGGACGATACTTCTGTCGAGCGACAGTCCCTGGGTTCCCCGACATCAAGGCAGATGCAACCATCTACATGAAGGGACCGCCCACCATCATCTCTCACCGAACGCAATACGGCATTCCCGGCGACACTGTTAGATTAGAATGTTCCGCATTTTCCATACCAACGCCTCAAAAAGTTGTATGGAACTTCAAGGGCGAGGACGTTGCTTCTGATTTGAATTATTCAGTGAGTATTCAAACAAAATTTAAAAAATACTTTTGTAGTGACTTTGACTTATTTCCTTGAGCTCCTAGGGGGAGCATAGGGCCTCGACGAACACTCTCCATCGGTCTCTATGGTTTGCCAGTTCCTTTGCTCTAGCCCATGTCATGCCTTTTGTAGTAGTAAAAGTCTATTATATTATAGTTGAACATTCCTGAAGACTCTTTTTTTAAATTAGCTAGAACAGCAATCAAAATATTATTTTCCTTGTGTAATGTAAGATGTATATCTTTAGATGAGTGAGGTCTGTTTTTATGTAGGTGATAAAGTAATCATCATAAAAGTTATCAATGAATTAAAAAAAAAACATAGATTACAGATATTTTTTGAACCCACATCATAAATAAGAGTTAAGTTGAATTGAATAAACTAATTTGGTAATGTGGCGTCCCAAACTATCCTCCTCCACTTCTTCAAATCCTGCATGTTTTCTTCATCGCCTCTGAACAATGTCATCTTTGGCTTTTCATATTTCCAACAAGGGGTTCCCGGGTGTCATCATCCTTCTAGGTTTTCATTTCATCTCCTAGTCAAATTTTCTAGTCTGCTTTTGGCACAACCACCTCCATTGATAGATCCCACAGTAACCTGTTATGCTTTATTCTTCCAATTCATCGGTCAGTCCAAACATTTTCTAAAGTGCATAAAATTTAAAATTTTTCTCGCTTTTCCTTAGTACTTTTATCCACCACAATGTTTGTTACGAACCATACGTAGAATTAATTCAGTTATTTGTCGAGTCAAAACCTTGTTCATGTGTTATAAAACACAGCGTTTATCAAATACTGTTGATAGGTTTTGGAGGATCAGCTGACGGAAGGTATCAAAAGCACTCTGATTATCCAAGAGTCAAGACTGGAGCATTTTGGAGTTTACAACTGTACGGTGTCCAACCCTTATGGCAGTGACGTGGTGGAAATCACACTTAAAGCTCAGAGTAAGAAATATTTTAAATACTTGGGATTACTTTGAAAGTTATACAGTTTATATCAAGGTCTCTTTATCTGTTTTGCAATTGGGTGAGGACAAAGAAGAGAGTGTGGTTCTTCAATCCTACTGCAGAAAACAGTTACACAATCACCATTAATTATAGAGAAGTCTCAGTTTAACCACTTAGATTGAAACAAATTACGTTTAATTCACACAGTTATGTAACAAAGTTAAAACTTAAATGTATCAACATGTAAACAAATCGATGTAAATGTAATCGACCTTCATATTTTCCCACAGAGAACAATAAATATTTATTTCAAAAAGCCCCACTTTGAATTTTTTATAACACATACATACAAATATAAAAATGGGTCCTCTCCCATTCCGTCTATCTCTGGTTCTGGGTGTCCCTTTTGAATAGCACATAATGGAATATTAGGGACATTAGGGGCCTCATGTGCTGGCTAGGTTCTTGAACTACAAAGTTGAGTCGAATTTCAGCCTAAACGGTTCAGTAGTTTTGCTTTCACCGGGAATAAATTACAAAATTACAATACATTCATTTCTGACTATTTACCTTTCAATTAATTTCTAACATTGAGGTGTTATTTGATTTTGTTTGTTTCAGAGAGTTTTCCCTTAAATTCCACTGTGTTTGGTATTATTGTGGTAGTTCTCCTGATCATAACTGTTTCCATGTTACTTCTTCTGTGTCAACGAAAGGAGAAAAAGATTCACAGTAAGTTGTTATTTCTCAAGAAACTTTTGAAATCTTATAGATAGGAAAACCAAACCTTACAGAGTGTGTAGCTTAACATCATAGCTACACAAACCATTTTTGTAGCTACATTTTGATTTGTGTAGCTTGATCAAATCATAAGTTCAACTTCCAAAGCTTTTTGTCTGGGACGTATTGTTTATATGTTATGGGGTAGATGTGGCCTGGTTTGGTATAAAACAAATTAAAATTCATTTATAAGAATGAAAATGTCAAAACAATGGCCGAAAGTGTGATTCTTTAGGGTGATTCTTTAGGGCTGATAATTACGTTTTAGTCATTTTTAATGTTGTGTGTTTTAAAATGAAATTGCCTTTATTAAGTAAGATTTAAGAACCAATGTTGAGTTAATATTTGTTATGGTCTACTGGATTGAGAGAGTACCAGAATGTGTGATATGAAACCAAGAGAAAAATCATTACTCATTAGCTTTACACGCACAGCTGGGTTTGATATTCAGATTTTTTTAAACATCGCTTTCCACAAAATGAATCTGGAACAATTAATTTTTACATAGAAATTCCACAGTGTTAATTTTTAAATACCATTATACAACTCAAGTCAAAGTACAACTAACATTTGACAACATGATAGAGTTTTATAATGAGTTGGGGCATTCATAAATAGCAGTTGAATTCTTAAAACATGTAATTTTAACACTACGTAATGTTTTTTTCAGTTGACAAGACCGACCATCTGAAACACCAGAAAGAAAGTGACAGATCGTCTAACATATCAGATTTGAAACTAGAGATAGAATACAGTGGTGGTGAAGGAGAGGGGGGAAGTGAGACGGCCAGTGAGAGGGGAGGAGGGGGTCTTGGCCTCCCATTGGCTGGACCGGTCCCTCTTGACCATCGCTACTCTCAAAGATACTCCTTCGCCGACTACTCTGATCAAACGTTCCCTCCGAAAAATGTGAGTTCTTATAATAGTTCAGAAAGGCAAGTTTAAAATGAATGCAAGAATTTTTTCTTTAACACTAATTTAGCTTATTCTTTGGTTGGATTTATTTACTTAAGTCAAGTGATCAAAGCTAGCTCAGCCCAGTTTTGGATTTACAAAAAAAAATTGGTCCTCGGTTAATTAATTTATCTTTAGAGAAATCATCTAATTGTTCAAATACTTTCATCTACAATCATAATTTGAATAGTCAAAGGACAGCACTAATCATATATTTTGTAAACTCTGTATTTCATAGAAAAATTAACATGGATTACATGATTCATGTTGTGGACATGGATTACATGTTTGTTTTAACATGATACTTTTGGTTGTTATGAAATGATTTTTTTTTACATTAGGACTAAATGGTTTCCATCATTTTACAGAAGTAGCATTTTGCAAGCCAAGTAATTTTTCAGTATTGGAAAATCAATTTATTTAGTTTTCAACCAACTTTAAACACACGACCATATTTAACTTTTAAGTTTAAACTATAGATCAGTAGCAGCAAGCAGCCACACTACCTAACAATAATTGATAATATAAACAACCCGTCAGATCTACCATTCTCCATGTTTCAGAACAATCAGAACAACGGCTACGTCGCTTACCTAGACTACTCCCGAGACTACAGTCCGCCCACTCCTCTGCCAGCCGGAGTGTCACCAGTACCATCAGACAACACTGTAGACCCTAGGTACTCGGCGGTCTACGGCAACCCCTACCTGAGGCATCCCGTGTCCCAGCTACCCCCTCCCCCTAGCAGACCCCAGGGTCCCCTACCTCCGCCTCCCTACGCCACCATGACCGGTGTCCTGACCAAGACCATCAACAGCGACGCCAACAGAGGAACTCTTGCCACTCATGTGTAGCGTTTATGTGATTCCATTGTAAATAATTTAGTTACGAGTTTCCATGTGTTTTGAATGCAGCTTAAACAAACTTTACAATTTCGTAGAGATAAGAATTGTATTGTGTTCAGCTAAAAAGATACTTGATCCAATAATCCAGTTGGATTGAAAGTATGTGATGTGTTATTATAGAAAGGTACCAAAGATAAACTAACGTCTTGGCTGATCCGTCTATTTGTATAGCTTTTCTTGTGTCTTGATAAATTAATGGTTTATTTTCATTGAGGTTTCCAACTATAAAAGTAAAAAAATGTCATCAGTAAACATTACGGAATTTAAAAATGTCTAAGTCTGTTAAAAAGCAAAAAATTTGTAATTTCAGAAAATGTAATTCCCATTCCAAAAAAGATCGCATTTTAAAATGTTACTATTGGTTTTGTGTATTTAAAATAATGGTTGGGGAGTTACCAGTTATGTAAACTTTTTACTTTTACTAAGTGACTGAGTGGAGGGAATTTGAAAGAGTAATTGTCCAAAATTATTGTACATTGATCTTGAAACAAACCTATTATTTAAGTAGTGTTTGTTTACTATGGATAAAAGGTTCATCAGCCATACTTTAAATTATTTTTATGTACAGCCTTTGTAAAAACATTGAATGTCTTCCTTAACCTGTATTATGCTTGATACAATATGTTAACTGAATAACAACGCTCATACAACTATTCTACTACCACATTTTAATTTATTTATTGTGTTCTTATATAAGCTAGCATCAACCTTGTAAGAAATATTAAACTACTAAATGTAAGATTTAAACTATGCTGTTATAAGACTGTGGCTTTCTTTCAAAGTATCTAATTGCTGAAATATTGTGTAACTATTGTATCCATTGAAATGTTCCTACATTTTTTACATATTTTGTAAAGTTATTTGCTCGAGATGAGGAATGAAATTCACATCTCTCTTGTTTGTATGAAAAGTCTTGTTTTGTATTGTTGTTAGGTTTTGTAAGGTATGTGTTATTGTGAGAAAACAAAAAAGTGCTCTTATAAATTGTTGTTTTCTATTCATTGCATTTATATGACAAATATTCTGTACTTACATTACCGAAAATGTACTTAAAACTGTCTTAAGAAAATAAATATTAAATTTTTGTATGAATGGGTGTGATTTACCAATTTCTAGCATTCTGAAAGTTACAGATTTAACTGAAAGTCGAGATACCCTGAAAACCTATTATTTTCATATAGTAGTATTAGACAGGACGATTGAATATATTTTTTACTGTTAGGCACTTGCATCTAAATCAGACTCGATCACAAATATTTTCAACAAATCAATCAAGTTGGTACCAATTTAGGTGACATAGTTTGGGCCCCTGACGCTTGGGTCATGGTAGTCGGTCATTAGTGCAGTGCGCATCTGAGCACCTTTAAATAATTTAGTATTAAAAATGCATTATAAAACAACAAAACTACAACCAAACAAACAAATTTCATTAACAAAATTGATATACTCAATGTTCTATTGGTCTTAAGCATCATCAACCTTTTATAAAAGCAGCCCCAACTTTGTGAAATGATTTTTAATAAAGTATTATCTGAAATCAGGCAAACTGATGATATACGACAATACGAAATTATTGAAAGAAGAAGCCCCACTATATTGTGGAAGATATGTTTTTAATTTCCTCCCAACTACAAGTATAAATTTAACAGGCATCTGTATTTAACTTTGGTAGAGTTTAGCTTGTAGGTAACGTGTTACAGTAATAGTTGGTTGTGTTTACATCTTTTGTATATTATATACCTTGCACATTAATGACGTACCATTTGAATTTTGATAAGCTTAAAGCTCCAAAAATAAGCTAGACGATCATGATTCAAAAGTAAAAAAAACTAAATAATAACTAGCCACGAAGAACCACATCTTCTTTTATATTTAATCAAATCTATCTGTTTCAAATCTAGCACTCCAATCCTTGCAAATATGATATGATTATGATACTATCTCAGCAATGCTTGAACCAACATATTCAGTATAATAGATGCATGGCGGTGACTTGGAAACCATCCTTAGTATCTCAATCTCAATGACATGAATGTTGATGGTAATAATCTTCCTGGATAGCCTTCCATGGTCACTTTATGTAGAATCGTGGGCTGAGGACGATCAAGTAAAAACGATAACACACTAACACTCTTCGATGTTTCGGCTTAGACTGCTATATTCCGGGCGACTTGACTCCACACAAATAACAAATCATGTCAGCTAATTTGAGAGTAACAAGTTTACCATAATTCACTCCATGATTGACCCAGTAAGAGAACATAAAAGGTAGTTAGTAACCAGTTATAACCAGTTGTTATCACATTTTTATTTCCAAATAAGTATAAATATTCATACAGTTACTAAATTTTTTGTTACTTTTACATGGAAAAGGTTCCTCTAATTTAACTAATTTCAGTTACTGCATAGGACGAATAAACTGTATATTTGCTAATTTTTTTAAACTAGAGGCTATTCAATTATAACATTTTTCAAATTAATATGTATAGGAAATTACAAATCTAACTAGTTAGTACAAAAATATAAATGTCTACCTACCTTATGTGTAAATTACTTCACTGTTTTTTCCAATTTTATCACAATATTTATAGTATTTATAGTTCAAAACAACAAATGTTTTGATTCCACAGTTAAATGCATTTATCAACAAAATATGAACAACTATGCTACCAGTTTGGTATAACTTACACTTCAATTGTGAAATCTTAAACAGTGAGTTTTTAATTAACATATTTTGTCAATTCCCTCATTCATTTTCACTTAGAGAGCAAAGTAAAGTGTTAATTATTTCAAAAAAATTATTGATAAAACCACTCACAAAACACAATTTAAAAATAATTGTTGTGAATTAAACCGCTGTACTAAATATATCTCGTACTTAATAATAATTGTGTAACATTATAGTCCGTTCACAAAATTTAGGCGATTTGAGGAGGAGTTCCCCACTTCATATTGCTTGAATATGTTTGCTTCTGATTGACGTTTTGGCAAACCTCAGCTGTTGCACTATAGTGTTAATGGTAGGATCAAGTTGAGGGAATAATTTTTTTCCCCTAAAACCGCCTAAATTTTGTGAACGGGGTATAAGTGATGCAACAAGGAGCAAACTCTATATGAACTAATTACAACAACACAATGAACAAACAAAATATAAACAAACTTAACAAGAATTAATGTAAAACAATGAAAAACTACTGAATGCCACTATAAAGTAAGGCTACATTTCTTAGCACCTTAAGTACAACTTTAACAGCAGGTTTTATTAGGCAGCAGGCTACAATATTTGTTTAGTAAAAAAATTTCGTAGAATGAAATATGCAATTTGAACAAGAATTGTAACAATGTAAATAGAAACCCACTTTTGTTTATTAACTCATTGTAAAAATTCAGGAAGATAATAAGCATCCTAAATAATAGGAACTTTATTGGCACTTTCTTTCATTGACCCTACCTTTCATTGACCTTCACAAATAATACGAAGAGGGGGAATAACATATAATTGACGCAAATACAAAGACAATATTTAACAACACTTAACAAGAGTTTAATTAATCAACAAGTTCCACGTTATGGAAATAGAAAATCACAGTGTTATGACTTGTTTTGTTAGGCCTATTAATTATCATGAAACATAAGAATTTACAATTTTATGACTTGATGAAAATTTTCAAGAATTCTTAAATGCAATATATGAAACAAACTTACAAAATCACACATGGTATGATGTTACATCCAAGATCCCCAGCCTGACCAGGTTTTGCTGAGGATGTGTTTGTTTGTGGCATGATCGATGAGACACTCCACCTGAGTAAGAAAAAAACAATTTTATACAATTATTAAGTCATAGAAAAAACACTAATAATAAGTAACTCAAGGAGCACAACCTTGAATATTTAATATTCAACCCTTTGGGTGCCAGAAATTTATTTTGGTACTTTCCGAAAAGTGCCAAAGTTTTTTACTAGGTGTGTCCAAAAAGTGCCAAGCTTGCCGCGAGGGCAAAGCGTAGTGCGCAAGAAAAATTGGTAAAAGTATAAATTTACATCCCAAAAGTGCCAAGGAACAATATATCGTGCCTCGATCGTATGAGAAATGCAGAAATTGAGTGAAATCATCGTTGTTTTAAAATAACAACCAAGTCAACCGATATGCCGATAAAAACTTACATGATCGTAAGTCGCCCCGGCCTGATATATCGTTGCAATGTATATTTCAGTAAGACTACTGATAATGATATAACGTGAAGTATTTTTCCATTATTGCGTGGCACTCATTTTGTTGGCACTCCATATGTTATCTTGAATATCTTAACCAGATTGCAATTAAAGGTGTTTCCAATAGAGGTGTGCCAATATTAGACATTACGTATTACATAGAAAAAATAGATGTTATATAATATTTTATTTTATTTATTTAACGTTAATTAAGTCCCAATTTTAAATGTTTAACCACAACAGACTCAATTCAGGGATTAAAGGTTATCACAATTGTGTTAGTGAACTATGCTGTTACCTGATGCCTGGGAGACAACTCGTCCCTCAGTTCCCCGTCGTCTGTCCCATCATACAACAGCCGCAGCAGGTTGTCATAGTGAGGTTTTGTCTGATGGCCCAGTCTCAGGTCCTCCTCCACCATCCTCCTAGGGTTGGCACCCTCAAGCTTGCGACGGGCCAGGGAGATCTTCAGTTGTGGGAACCAATCCCCAGTCTCACTTGGCTCATCAGCCACTGCATCAATGTCACACATACAATACTAGATTACAGTGTTTTAACATGGTAGAAATAACCCATGATCATGGTGAAATATCAGAAAATTATCACAAAGCTATTTTACTAGAAGTCTTCCTCTTCAGTGAATTTACAAACATTTTCCACAACAAAACAAACATTTTGTGTTTTAATTAGCCCAAAAATTTTTTTAAATTATTATTGGAACTAGCAGACACAGGCTGTGCTACCTTTGTGTCTGCCAATTTGGTGTGCATAAAAAAAGAAGTTAGTTAATTATGGAATGGCTATAAAAAATATATTATTTTAAAGAGTGAATTTAGAAGTTGCTATTAAATAATAAGAGAAGAAGTTAATATTATTTTCATGAATCCAGTGCCAACGCCACGACACGTTCACGGCTAAAAGAGAAAGAGGGAGTGTGGAGTGGAGAGTAATGAGTGGAGTGTGGGGATTATGTGTAGTATATGATAGTGTATTTGTTTACTAATTCTAGTTCATGGATTGCCCATTATGTATATTCGGTACTTGGTACCTATTACAATCTAGGAGTTAAGCACACACTATAAAACTTGCGGGAGTAAGAGATATATTTAGTAAACATCAACACATTGGGGCATTACTGTAATCAACACCTATTAAACAATCTTGATTTTAGACTTTACAATCAAAATAGAAGTAAACTTGCAGTAACTATAATTCAATTTGGTACTTTCCTGTTAAAGGGAACATTCATTATTATCGATGATTTTTTTCTCGATGTATCGATATTAACAAATTGAAACATATCAGCTGACAACTACGATCAATATTGTTTAGTACCAAAAAACAATAATGAAATGAAATGTTTCTAAAAATATAACCTACATAACTAACCAAACTTGCTGTAACATTTAAAAATTCCGTGTTTAACTTGCCTTCTCTATTATCAAACCCAAACGGAATGTGTAAATGGTACAGCAAGTATGGTTGGTTATGTTAGGTTAGCTTAGAACAGTTTCATTTCTTAATCCATATAACAGACTGTTTTAGCCTAAACAAGATCAGTTAGTTGTTGTCAATTTGCAATGGATCGGAAAACAAAAATATCGATATATCGAAAAAAATCTTCGATAATAATGAATTTTCCATTTAACAGGAAAGTACCTTCAATTTTTTTAAGTAAAAAATCAATAACAAACCCTACAATCTATTTCATTTGACATCATGAATACTATTTATTTTAGGATTAATGAAAGTTCTGCACAGTAAGAATACGTACTATAAGCAACATGTTTTCGAGCAGCCTTCATCCAATCTACCGAGGGCTCTAGGATGAACACAGTCATAGTTGCCAACAGCAGACGCATGTTTTCTCTCAACACTCGCAGTGTGTGGACCATGGACTCTTTGATCAAACCTGCAATACAGCTGATTGGTGTCAATGGTTAAGCTAAAATGTTAGTATAGAAACCGTCAGGAACAAAACAATGAAAAAGTAAAACACTTAACTCTTACAAAACACAAAAAAGAAACTGTTGTCAGTATAACCTTTGACTAATTAGAATTAGACATTCCAATTATTCCCGCAACCACATAAGATAATCACAATTCACTATGATAGCAGGAGACGTTAGCCGCGATCGCTGGAGACATTCACGATTTTACCAAAACCACAGAAGATGTTCATGATTTTGCTGTAACCTTGAAAGATGTTCACAATTTAACTGCAACTATTGGAAATGTATTGCCATGATTTCAGGATACGTTCCCAATTTCAATATGATTTCAGGAAACTTTCATGTCACCAGATTCCTAGGAGACGTTCACGATTCTATTACAATTTCACAATAACCACAAACGTACAATAATTTAGTTCTATTATAATGAGGAAATTGTAGTATAACCATAAATATTTTTTAATATCAATGGGCCTACTTTTCTAAAATTTCCGATTTCGGATTGAGACCCAACCCATTCAAATGTTTGTCAAATATTGGTTCAAATATTTTACCCAACCTGACCCGAAGCAAGAAAGTCTGGCAAGCAGACCTTATTTAACAGATGGGTTACGTAACAGCACAAACTTGGATTAGAGAGTTAGAGCTTTGTAACAACTTGAATAATGTTTCTGTGTACATATTTATATGATTGGATTTGAATGAGTTTACACAGGCCACCAGGTCATAAATCATTTGAAAAATTTATTAATAACTGATATTTATTAATAAATTGGTTAGAAATGTGACCATTGGTTACTAGAAATTATAAACATACCAGAATGATGTTAAAAGAATGTAATATACACTACCGTACCTGTGGTTTGAAATGGAGCAGCTAAGTTGAGTAACTGAGGAGTCAATCGGAAAGGCATCAGCTCAGGGACACTCAGCAGTTGCGTGGCCGTACCAAACGCATGTCCAAAGTCTATCCCCAACAGACGTCCCGTGTCTTTACAAACCTAGGGTGATAAAGTCAATTACAGTTATACACATGTTTTCTGCCATAGACACATAAACAAGATTACTACACCAGGATTGTATTCTAAAGATTAGCTCAACAGCTGCAAATGTCTATTAAAGAATTTCATCCGACTCTCTGGAAAAATTAGTGACTTTTCTGTGACTAATAGACATCCTATAATAGTATTTATTTTGTTTGAGTTGTTTACTAAATCTCTTTAAAATTGTGAAATTGTCACTCACCAGAGTATTAGAGGGATGGCGATCACCAATACCCAACAACCACTGACAGATGCTAAGACATGAGTGATCCGTCAACATTGTAGACCGAAGATGCATAAAGGCCTCAGGACTGATGGACAACCTCAGCACAGCATCTCTGCAATATTGCAACATTAAATTAAAAACAACCTCAGCAAGGCATCTTTGCAATATCACAACATTACATTAGAGACAACCTCAGCACAGCATCTATGCAAAATCGCAACATTCCATTAGAGACAACCTCAGCACAGCATCTCTGCAATATCGCAACATTGCATTATAGACAACATCAGTATAGCATCTCTGTAATATCACAACATTACATTAGAGAAAACCTCAGCACAGAATCTATGCAATATTGTAACATTAAATTAGAGACAACGTCAGCACAGCATCTCTGCAATATTGCAACATTACATTAGAGACAATCTCAGCACAGCATCTCTGCAATATTACAATCAATACATTAGAGAAAACCTCAGCATAGCATCTATGCAATATTGCAACATTAAATTAGAGACAACGTCAGCACAGCATCTCTGCAATATTGCAATCAATACATTATAGAAAACATCAGCACAGCATATCTGCAATATTACAATCAATACATTAGAGAACAAATCAGCACAGCATCTCTGCAATATTGCCACATTACATTAGAGACAACGTCAGCATAGCATATCTGCAATATTACAATCAATACATAAGAGAAAACATCAGCTCAGCATCTCTGCAATATTGCAATCAATACATTAGAGAACACATCTGCACAGCATCTCTGCAATATTGCCACATTACATTAGAGACAACATCAGCACAGCATATCTGCAATATTACAATCAATACATTAGAGAAAACATCAGCTCAGCATCTCTGCAATATTGCAATCAATACATTAGAGAACACATTAGCTCAGCATCTCTGCAGTATTGCAACATTACATTAGAGACAATCTCAGCACAGCATCTCTGCAGTATTGCAACATTACATTAGAGACAATCTCAGCACAGCATCTCTGCAGTATTGCAACATTACATTAGAGACAATCTCAGCACAGCATCTCTGCAGTATTGCAACATTACATTAGAGACAATCTCAGCACAGCATCTCTGCAGTATTGCAACATTACATTAGAGACAATCTCAGCACAGCATCTCTGCAGTATTGCAACATTACATTAGAGAAAATCTCAGCACAGCATCTCTGCAGTATTGCAACATTACATTAGAGACAACCTCAGCACAGCATCTCTGCAGTATTGCAACATTAAATTAGAGACAATCTCAGCACAGCATCTCTGCAGTATTGCAACATTACATTAGAGACAATCTCAGCACAGCATCTCTGCAGTATTGCAACATTACATTAGAGACAACCTCAGCACAGCATCTCTGCAGTATTGCAACATTACATTAGAGACAACCTCAGCACAGCATCTCTGCAGTATTGCAACATTACATTAGAGACAACCTCAGCACAGCATCTCTGCAATATCGCAACATTACATTAGAGACAACCTCAGTATTGGTCTATTGAGCTCTTTAATAAATTAAATAAATACATAATTTAAACATATTTAACATAATTTAAATTATCTTATTTTTATTAATTTTTTTAAACATAATTTAATTTTTTCAAACAATACAATTATTTTAACATTTGAAATCTTAAATGATAGGTCTATATGGAAGGGGAAGATAATACAGTATAAAGTAATTTGTAAAAAAATAGGAACAGCACTGTAAAAGTAGAACACAATGTAGATCAGAGATCTCCTGTGTACTAAAGATCATTAATATTAGAACTTGTTTATAGAATTAAAAACTTACCGCAGCATAAACGTTGGAAGTTTATTGACAGCAAGGTTATACATTTTTATAGAATCCTCTCGCTCAACTCTTTTATAAAACTTGACACTATCATTTTCAAATCTGCCAAAGTGCTGACGGTGGTAGATGTGTTGAGCAGCATCTCTAGAGAACATGTTAAATATACAAAGATATCTTAGAATGTAACATTATGTAATCAATGACTATTAATGTTAACTACTATTAAATAGTTGTTCTATTTAAAATAGAGTTGGCTCCCCTGTTAAATAAATGCCTTGAGATGAACAAAATTCTTAATCACGTATTAAACTGAATGAATATTAATGCAATCTGTATCAAATGTGTTACTATATTTGATTACTACTATAAAATAATTAGAGAAGCAAGCAGATAAATTTCACATTGTCCGTGAAGATATATTGTCTTCTTTGTAGACAAAATTATCATCATTAATGTACTGGAACATTTAAGAACTGGTTGTTATCATCAAATTAATTGATAATTTTTAGTTTCCCCTGGATTGCCTTAAGGGTTAAGCTAATAGGGATGAAATTACTAAACGCAGTGCATGCTTTTGGTGTTGGTCAACATTTTCTCAAAACATCTGGAGACAGACAAACAAGAAAATATATAGAGACAGATTCCAGGGGATAGCCAGTTTTCTACTGTTTACGGTGATATATCCAGTCCAAATTGGACTGAAATAAACTGTGCAAAAAAAAAGAAAATATGTAACCATCTGCACTACCGTCGATGCATCAACGCTTGAACTCCCCAGAGCAAGTCGTTACCATCGATGCATCGGCACTGGAAGGGTTAGGTTAAAAACATTAACAACAATGATGAAGTATGCACTAATCCCACTGGTACAGTAAAAGCAAAACGTCAATATATAGGTGTTTGAATCAATTAGTAATAATAATTAAAATGACTATTTTATCAAGTATGCATACACAGAATACTTACATATTTTCTATAGGTACTGCACTTGTCATAAAATCTTTTAAGGTTGTTGTTTTTTCTACCCATTGAATGATTCCGAATCTGTTATTCAGAGGCACAACCTCAAAACAAAAGAAGAATATTATTATGAATGAATTAGGAAGAGCATTTTGCAATAATAGTTATTAAAAATGTAATAATAATATTTATAATAGTTTTACAACTTTAAATGTTGGTTTAGTACATTTTTTTGAAGCCTATCATTACTGAACAAAAACTGATAGCAAGATTGCATAGCTGATTCTGTAGAATCTGTCTGATTTGGACAGACGTCTGCATAAGATTACTCACTAGCATATACCTACACCTACTTTTACTAACTTATGTGTGGCTTTTTTTAAAGCCAGGTAAATAAAGTCACAACATAATCTGTTTGGGCGAGGGCCAATTGTTTAAAAGTGTCTCAAGAAGAGAGAGTCTACTATGAAGAGTAATGACTTCACTCCACTGACAGTCAACCTAACATTGTGAAGTCACACTAGTCACATTACTCATGTGTAGATCTGCACTACCGTTGATGCATCGATACTTGACACTCCAGAGTGTGTCGTTGCCATCGATGCATCAAACGATGTATCTGTTTCATTTCCAATCAAAATGATTTAGCATTTTTTAAGCATTGTAAAACTTACACCATATGTATGTACAGAGAGCTGTCGTCTGCTTGCAGTGACATCTGCACTCAACAGCTGATTCATGAGGCCAAACAGCTGTTGAATCCTCTGATCCTGCCTCAGGTCTTCACCAAACTTGACCAGGAAAGGGTGTTCTTTGGCGTCATTGCCGAGGATGGTGATCTTGATTGGACTACGTAACGAATCTTGAGACTTCACCTGCAACAAGTAAATATGCGTCTTTACAAATTATTTTTTCATTTGTGTGGTTTTTGTCATGTTTTTTTTTTACATGCAGGTTGTCATCTTTTGTAAGGGAAATGGTCCAAACCCTGGACTTCTTTTTATCTAACAATAACCTTTTAGTAGAGCAACAGTATTTGATACCCTGATGACAAATTCAATCCGGGTCCAGAATCGACCCCTTGAAATTAAAAAGATTTGCAGGTGTCAGCTACTCAGATAATTTGTGTTGAAACAAAAGGTGTACAAGCCTAGACCTTTTTTTGAGCCGAGCTTTTAAATATAGCGAATTGTACGTACCGTATGCCAGGGGTCTAAAACCTACAACCTGCGAACACGTCAGCCCCTCAAACAGTTTTTTTCTTTCAGCAAACCTTGATAATCTCCTCTCACAATCGCATAAACAACTGTGATCTGGTGGTCTCGGCGATACCGTAATCGTTTCCCTTGGTCGCAGTAACATTTGTGACCATATCTTAAAATCTCAGCGATACCGTGATCGTCTCCCCTGATCGTGGTAACACAACAAAAACCGCAGTTGGGTAGAAGCCACTATTGTATTCCACGATCACAGTTATCGTCATTCCCGGCAATTGCAACCAATTCCAGCATATCTCCCACCAAAAACATCATCATCCTCTTCCACAATCGCAGCTTAATTGTGAAAATATCCTGCAATCGTGTAGTGTTTCGAGATCACAGCCAAATGACGGTCAAATCCCACGATCATGGAAAAAATCTTCATTGTCTTTGGCCACCGCAGAAAAGGTCTTCCACTGTAGAAACATTGTTGTCTCGGCGATTGTGGAAAAATATCCAACATATCCTGCATAGTCAAACGACTCATTTTATGGAGTCACAAAAACTTTATCGCCGTCAAACGCGATAGCAGTAAAATTTCGAATTATTTAATAGCGCGATCATCTCAGTTGCCTTTTGCTCTTGGCTCGAGCCTGATTTTCTGACTTTGCGTTCAATCTGTTGAGTTTGAAGGCTACGGTCAGCTCAGATCGAAAATCAAGCAGCTCGCACATCTCTATTAGAAACATTTGCCTGAAGTACTTTCAAACTTATTGTCCATAAACTATTAAATAGACCAGTATATACTCACAAAACGGTTGAAGGATGAGATGGTCACATGGTGATTGGGCAGAGGTCGACTCTGTCCTGTGTATTGTCCAGGGATCTCAACATTGCCTTTGTATCCGTTCATTAACCATGGACTGTAGGCAGCCATCTCAAAACCTTTGAACTTCTTCTGAAATATTAAAAATTCATATTAGCAGCAGTAAATTTAAGATAAAACTGTATAGGATCAAATGTCTCTGTCATAATAGTTTTCTATTATTAATTTCTATTTTTATCAATTTCATTTAATATTCACTTATCCACTTCAGAGTTAAATTAATACAGTATGTCAGCAAAATTGCAATTTTCTCATCTGTTAAATTTATATATTTAATAATGATGATTGATTTATTGTGCACAACGAGAAAACAGTCTTACTAAAGTCTTGGTAAAATTATTCTTCACTCACCTTATCATTTCTCGCCTTCATATAAAGAGTGCCAAGTTGTTTGATAAATTCATCAGTTGAAGTTGTTTTGTTCATATACTGGCCTGAAACAATCATCTCGCCAACTAAATTCAATTTTTAAGACATTTCTGGAATACAAAAGTTGTATGGAGTTAAATTTTTGTAAAAAAATCCTGTTTACCAAGGAATGTTAAACATTTATTTAAATGAATAAAATAACATATTTTCACAAATAATTGTTCTTAAACGCATCAAAGTTATTGTCTATTAAAACAAACTTTAATAATCAAATAGTTGACTTTTTGTTTTATTATAATTATCATAATTTGGAGGGATGCCATTTATGTGCGTAGTTAAACCAAAATATGACTAAAGGATGAGTGTAGAATGAAGTAAGATGTCTTGTAATTAGAGATACAAAATACAATTTACCAATAGGATCCTAAGTATTTACAACATGAAGAAAGGTTTAACAATCTAAGTGGAGTCAAGGTTGGAGAATGAAGGCTAAAAAAACTTGTTGAAAAATGTTACTCCTAGGGATAAGTTTTATTTTCTTGTCACTCTGTAATTCAGGAAAACTAATAAATAACTTTATAAAGTCGAATTAACCAGCCATCTAGTCGTGAATATTATAAACTTAATTAAAGAATGTTTTTGTCATGGAAATGTATTTTAGTCTATTAGTCTAAAACCCACTTACTGTAAAGACTCTCCAATTCATCAGTCAACTTTTGTACACTGTTGAAAGCTATTCCTTTTATTTTATCATCTTGTTTAGGAGGAAACGCTTCTTTCTTCATTAATTCATAAGCTTCATTAAAAGCATCACTTCCTAAGTTCTGTTAACACACATAAAAATATACAATGCGACAACAATTAAAATAATTACTTTGGAATGTTCTGTAAAGTACGGAATGTTGCATTTTGATTTTGATGATAATGTTTTTCAAAATAGTTTACCAATACGAAGCTGATCTTATTATTACTTCATCTTACCGGCGCGACGGGATCGGCCCGCGACCTTTGACTTGACCATTGACTTGACTCACTTGATCATTGACTTGACTTTGACCTCGACATTGACAGCACACCCTAGCCGCTCTCTCTCCGACGCTTATATTGATATTTATTGCATGTTCTTTACTATTGCATGTTCTTTTCGTGTAGAGTACTGTCACTTATTACATAACTCAGTCAGTATTACTTAACTGCTGAAATTCATTTAATTCATTTAATTTTACTTTTCATTTAATTTTATTTTTCACTCATACAAAATAATAAAATTAAATTGCGCCACTTTAACTTCATAATCTTTATAGCAACTTAGCAGACGCACAGGCACAGCCTATGTCTGCTAATTCCAGAACTAATTAGATAGGAACAACCTTTTACGCATGTATATAGTTAATTAGTTATAGTTAGTTAGTTTAGTTTTGCATAAAGAACTTTTTTCTTTTGTACATTTGGTTGTGTAATTTTTATATATGTGGTGGAATAAATTCATAATTCATTCATTCATTCATTCATTCATTCATAATTCATTCAATTCATTCATTCATTCATTCATTCATTCAATCTAGTTGACAAAGTACGAGTCTAAATCTTGTATCCAGGAAAATACCTTATGTGTTGAAAGGATTGACTTCTAAATACTGAAGAAGACGTCCCACTAATATACAAGCTGTAGCCACTGTCAATGTAAAAAAAAACTTAAGTGAATAGAAATGAGCCTCTCACAGAGTACATCAGCCAAAAACCCCATTTTCTCCCACAGTTTTTGTTACAGAGATGGTCACATAAAAGGCACTATACTCTAACTTACAAAAAGTTTCATTTTGAATTGGATAAAAAGTTTACATTCAACAGAAATCAGTAATTTGCACCAGTACACTCTGGTAGTGGCTAAATTCAATCATGTTCATCATCATTCTATAGCTACTGACAATTTGCTTGTGTACCTGTGTGAGCACAGTTCTGAGCATCTCTATGTGATACATGAGACAGCCGTGAGGCTGACACACACATGACAGTCCACTGAGCAAATCACTTGTGGTCTGATCCATCTTCAGGAGATCACTGAGTCTGCAACAAACACAACAGCTTACTAGACCTTTGAGGATTAGCAGACAAACCACATACTAAAGTGATGACTCATTAAGTTCTGATAGTCTACGGCAAATGTCACTATTATATAACTGAATCTCAGTATGTCACTAGTGGTCTGATACTCAATACACCACTGTGTATGCTACAAGAACAGCTGTTCACCAGACTTGTCATGGAGAAAGGAAGGATACACAACTAAGTAAAATGTTATACAAAATACAGATATGACAAAAGATATCACAAAAACGCGAGGCTTTTGAAACTCTTGGCACGTAAAATATAAAATTAAAAAATAAATCACATACTGATTAACAGTGTCTCTAGTGGCATGATGTTTGTACTGGTACATCTCCTTGCTGAGGTGGAAGGGGAACTGTAGAGCTGCAGGGTATGTCTTGGCCAAGTCTACCAACAGTGGTGCCACTACGTGTCCCACCTCAGTGTCCAGGTGTGCCAACAGCTGAGCCACCCATGACAGGAACATCCACTCTGGCACCTGCTTGTACTGAAACAATCAAGGGTTTACAGTCATAGTTTTTAATGTTCATTTCAAAGATAATGTGGGACATTTTATTTTCACAATCCCTCAACATCCTGGACTTGGTTCCAATTAGTGATGGTCGGATCCGGATACCGGACAACCGGATCCGAGCTGGAACCAGCACCGGATCGGATCCAAAAAATTCCGGATCTTGGGCTGGATCCGGTTTTGATGGATCTGATTTTTTCCGATTTTTTGGCTAACATAAAGCTGTCTGTATCCATGTACAAGACCAGTTTTTTCCCGATTTTTTACTAACACAAAGCTGTCTGTACCCATGTACGCTCCGGACTAAAGTGGCAGGCGTCCGGTCCGGGTTACGAAAAATCCGGACTATCGAGAGTCGAGCAAATACACAGTAGGTACTGTACATTAATAGCCGTTTTTTTTTTCAATTTTGTTCCAGGTCCACAGTAATAAATAGCCGGGCATATGCACTTCCACCGGTAATAATTTTTACCGCCGAATTTAGTTCCAGCTCCACAGTAATGATAACCGGGCATATGCACTTCAACCGGTAATAATTTTTACCGCCGAATTTAGTTCCAGGTCCACAGTAATGATAACCGGGCATATGCACTTCAACCGGTAATAATTTTTACCGCCAAATTTTGATCCAGGTCCACAGAAATGATAGCTGGGCATAGGCTACGCACTTACACCGGTAATAATTTTTACCGCCTTATTTAGTATCAGGTCCACAGTAATGATAGTCGTCATATGCACTTCAACTTCAACCGGTAATAATTTTTACCGCCGAATTTAGTTCCAGGTCCACAGTAATGATAACCGGGCATATGCACTTCAACCGGTAATAATTTGTACCGCTGAATTTTGTTCCAGGTCCACAGTAATGATAACCGGGCATATGCACTTCAACCGGTAATAATTTTTACCACTGAATTTTGTTCCAGGTCCACAGTAATGATAACCGGGCATATACACTTCAACCGGTGATAATGTTTACTGCCGAATTTAGTTCTAGGTCCACAGTTATGATAGCCGGGCATATGCACTTCAACAGGTAATTATATTTACCACCGAATTTAGTTCCAAGTCCACAGTAATGATAGCTGGGCATATGCACTTCCACCGGTAATAATTTTAATTTTTACCACCGAATTTTGTTCCAGGTCCACAGTAATTCTAGCTGGGCAAATGCACTTCCACCGGTAATAATGTTTACCAAACCGTTATAATAACCGGTAGTAATGTTTACACCGGTAATAATTTTTACCATCGTGTTATCCGGTTAATCGGTCTTGTACAATGTACATAGATACAGACAGTGTTAGTAATAAAATCGGGAAAACATCGGTCTTGTATGCCTGGATCACCCCTTGCTTATATATCTATGTTATTCGTTCCAGGTCCACAGTACTGATATCCGGGTATGTGAAACTCTACAGGTAAAATACCCTTTGTCTGTGTACAAGAAGATTATCTGTGTCCATACAGGGTGAATAAAAAAGTCAGGACTCCCCCATCTAATATTTTTCTAAGTTAGAACACAGTACAGTCTTCTTGTACACAGAAACAGGGTATTTTACCTGTAGAACTTCACATACCCGCCTATCAGTACTGTGGACCTGGAACGAATTTAAGGAAGAGATTAACAATAGGTGATTCACGCATAAATAAATTGGATGCTGCATGCAAAAACCACGATATAGCATACTCAAGATCGAACTATAGTAAAATATACACAGATACCCTTTTGGTGGTCGTGCAAACATAGGACAAAGTTTCATTTTTATGATTTTGAAAAATGATGGATTATGAGCTCAACTGGAGATTACTCTGTATATAAGATGTATTAATCCTTAAACATTACCAATTTAATTTTAAAAAGTATGATTTAAATTGGAATTTTGTTAATTAGGTTTTTTTCACCCGCCCTTATGACAGTGTGTATCTGGATCCAAATTTTTCAAGATCCAGATCCGGTACCGACATTTTCTTGGATCCGCCCATCACTAGTTCCAATCCAAGTGAATTTCACTTGTCTTGTTTTTGACACATAAATCGGTGGCTTGCGCCCCAGCAACAATATGGAAAAGCTTCAAAATGCTGTAACAGGTTGGCTCCATCGACTGGCAGCAGATCTTCATGAGGGGAGGATTGCAAAAACTATAAAATTAAAAGATCCTACAAGTGATTTAATTTATTTGGAGACTAGGTGGAAAAATAAAGTAAATTCAAATTTTTAAGGTGTATATACAATAGCCTTTTCCTATCTTCATTGATTTCATTTTTAATTCAAAATGGAGTTTACTTTCTGTATAACCCTCAAAAGTCCAAACTCGTAAAAAGTCCCCGAATTAAGTAGCAACAGTTACAAGTCTGATTCATTTGCTTCCGATAGAACTGAGTTAGCCGAGCTCTTGAACACCTTTAGAGTTTTAAAGAACAACACCATGAATGGCAAAACAACTAAACTCAAAAGGCAATTCCACAATATTTTATAATAAGTCAATTAGCAATTAAAAAACTTCCATTACTGTTGATAAAATTTAATACCAACCTACATGTACTGTAGTTTATGAAACTACATATATTTAAACTTATTTGCAATATTTGTCAGCTCAAAAGGATCTTAAACAAGTTTATAAATCACAATTGCTCATGGACTAACCTCAGACATGAAGAGATCTCTATGGTCAGCCAGGGAAGTGTCCAGTAAACAAGGAAAGAGAATACGAGCTTCTTTGGATCCGTACTTCATTGACCTCAACAAAGACTGTATCAACTTGTCTCGATATTGTGAATCATCTAAAAGCAAGAACATTACAAAGATATAATTTTACAGCAATAATTATTGATTTGTGGTTGAACATGTTCTGTATAAGGTTCGTAACCTGAACAGCTTACAGGGCCAGACAGAACTCAACTGTGGTGCTCTGATTAGTTTTGGAGTCACCTAAGACCGAGACTGGGTAAAGCCGCAGAAAGCAGAGGCCAGAGGACCAAAACCCAAAACTAAGGTCCCCAAACACTAGGACAGCCTAGTACTGTCAGACTGAGCTGAGGGGTGCTACAAAAGATCAACGGGTCGAAGTAGCGATAGGATTACATGAACCACCCCCACAAAAAAAGTTTGTCTCACTCATGAATTCAGGGTGAAACAGTGTTTAAAACTTTAAAACTGTACCATTGCGTTAAAGTAGTTTAACAAATCTTTCCATGTAACAACTCTTGGGAGTGTTGTGCACAGGCTTTTAGTTCTAAGACTATAAATGTGTTACATTTACATTTTATTCCACATACCAATCTCATGACAGAAGACTGTAAGTTTGAGATATGCATCAGCCAAGACATCACACTCGGAAGGTGGTCTTTTCTCAGCTGCTGCGACGGCCTGTCCAAGACAATCCACCACTCTGTGTTTTAGTCTTGCTTCAACACTCCCATCTCTGAAAAATTAATTGGTCTACAAATTATAACCCCAGTAGATTCTTGTTAATACAAAATTTACTACTTCAAAATCCAACTAAACAAGATAAGTTTCTACACAGTTGCTGGAAACTAAAAAAGCGAAACAGATTATTCTGACTAGCTTTGGCTTACCCCAGCTCCAAGCGGAGTTTCTCCACAGTCGCTGGAAACTACAAAAGCGTAAGAGATTATTCTGGCTAGCTTTGGCTTACCCCAGCTCCAAGCGGAGTTTCTCGACAGTCGCTGACTCCAAGTTGTCTAGTCCTGATGGACGTTGTTGTGCTACAGCCAGGAGAGTCTGGTAAACTTCTGCTGTGTGGAAGTGAAGCTCTATGTTCAAGGGATGGTCTAGCAAACCACTGGCATCTTGCTCCCTCAGTTTATCTAAAATAAAGACTAAGTTGGTCCGACATTTTGAAATTATTTTCAATTGCAAAGATGTGCATTTAAAAAAAAATAATCGCCACTTATGAATTTTTTTTTAAATTCATACTGTAATCACCATTTTTACAAAAAATACATTGAGTGGCAATTTACATTATGAATATTTGAATATTAAGATGAACAAACAGACAAAAACACTTTTCAGCTATTAAAACATAGCCTAACTAATCAGATTCATCTTGCTTGACAATAAAATGATTGCTTACATGAAAAATAACATCAACACGAATGAGCCAAAAATGCATTGACAAAAATTAGATCAAACATATTCAAGTAGATAACATGCATAAAAATGTAACAGAAAAATAATGATTACCAATTGATAAATATTACAATATAATAACATTTGTCAAGCCAAATTGATTGCTCATTCTTATTAGATACAAGTTATAGTTTTGATATAATTGGTTGGTGTATCTGGCCGAATCCTTATCCGGCAAGGCTCCCGGTCCTGTGGTGGTTCTATGAAAGGTTCTACCGTAGCCAACTTAGTTTTAACTGCTATAACCACATAAATTTAATCTTACCTAGAGGGTCCCAAGCTTTCATGATGTGTTCCACTTGACTGTTGAATATTTCATTCTTCTTCTGATCAGTAGAAAAACAATCAAGTTCATTACGTTCAAGCTCGGCCCTCAATAGCTTAACTTTGCTGTTGCAGAGAAGAAGCCGGTTGTCCAAACTGCCTTTCATCTGGACGACACAAATGGTACAAATATTACAAACTTTATACCTTTATTATTTTATGTTCTTGTCACATTCCCATTTAATTATTTTATACACTTATTACATAAGTAATCCACTCTAAGGTTAAAACATCAGATAACCAACTAAATTATTTAAAATTTACATTTTTTTTTTACTTTTTAAACTAGTCAACTATTTATATAGGCTAATAAGTAAAAACTATAGTTCAGTCTATTAAAAATGTGTGTTTACATATTGTTTTTATAGTATCTGTTTGCTTATTACTTAGGCTGGTATCGGTCCATTTCAAATTGCTCAGACGGTCAAACACTAAACTCAAGACATGACTCAGGCACTTGCACATTAATAGAACATTGTTCTGAATTTACTAATTATCGACAAATTGTACATACATAATGTGTGGTTACGAAATATATCCATTCATTTTCACTATTTTCAGACTAACTTCTGATGTTTTAGGCGTTATAGGGTTTGGACCCAAGGGGTTCAAATAAGGGAGAGTTTACTGCATCAGATAAGAAAGAGTAAAGGATCCCTAAATAACAAGATGACAGCTTGAAACCTTATAAGACAGGATATAGCTTTGAAATTTAATCTTGTTGCAATTTAAATAATAGAAAGATACAAATCTATATAAGTAAAAGTAAAATTAGGAAACATTTACTCTGAAATGTTGCAGTACTTACCTCATATTTGCATTTGTCCAAGTATCTTCGTGCAACATAGAAATTCTTTTGTTTGAGAGCACAATCCAAAGTTTTCAAATAGTTGTGTGTCCTTAATTGATGTATACTAGTTGTTGGATTACCTTCCCTTTTAAGATCGTCTTCTATCTTCTTAGCATAAATATTCCTAAACAAATACACAGCTGTTAGAACGCATCACTCAACAGTTAAATTAGCACAAACAGCTGATTAGTTGAAGTTTGAATCATTAAAATTTTACTTCTTCTCTCTCAATCCTTGAATCTCATTGGTCCGTTACCCGTGTTGTTATGAATAAAACTACGCTGTTATGAAAGCAATGTTATGTGAACAATGCTGTCATGAAACTTTTCAATTACGCTACTTTAAAAAACGGTCGTAGGTAAAATAAGTTATAAACCACAAATATACAGGTAACAGTACACTCCCATTCATCCACACTAATTTGGTGTTGCACTGATCCTGGAAGCACATTATTGATGTCCATTGTATGATGGAATTAATTATGAAAGACTACAAATGTCAAACCAACCCCATTTATGGTTAAATTGAATCTAAAAAAAACCATAAATATTTGTGAATGGTACCAGGTATACATTTTAAAAGATTACATTTATTAAGCACATGATAGTAAGCTGCAAACATTTTTTTTGTTATTACGTTTGATAGACCAAGGCTTTTATAAAGCTAATACCAACCTATACACAGACTGAGTCTCCCACGATACTAGATTGTCAGTTTTAGAAGGAGAGCTCTTCTTCCACTGTTCAACAAGGCGGAAGACTTTCTTGGACCGATCCACATCAGAAGCTAACTCGAGGAAGCGCTAAAAACAAATAGCATGAATCATAATCACTTTAACAAACAAAAGCACATACATTCAACGTTTTTAATTCAGACCCCTATTACATTAACAACTTCCTTAACTGTCTGTTAACATTAAATTTAAAATAGGAGTTGAGTTTTGCTTTCTGTCTAAAAAAATGTGAGCAAGATATTGAGTTGGCTTTGCACTTTCAAATAAAAAATGTAAGGCATCGCAGAAAGTGTGCCCATGTATTCTGGTCAGTGTTTAATTACATAGATCATAACTAAAACTGACATGATAAAGCAGCAAACATATTTAGAAATGATATAGATAATAATAATATCTGACATTTGCTTCAGTCATCTCTGAGTTAGGGAGTTACCTTTTGAATTATAGCATAATGGCCCTCAGATCAAAACATATACCAGTACGTATATGTTTATGGTGACAAGCAATTGACATACAAAATGAAATGCTAGAACACAGAGTATAAAATATAAACATCCTGGAAGGACAATGATCTTAGACGTTGTACTGTCAGTTTCTACTCACGTCAGTATCCATGAGCCTATGAACGTTGAGCAAGTGAGAACCTCGCAGGTTGTTGTTGAGACAGTCCAGCTGCTGCCAGACTGCCAGGAACTGCATCACACTGGCGTCACTGACCAGTTTGGCTCTTGGTACATCTCCGTTCACCACCAGCAGTAGGCTCAGCATGTCTGCCAACTTTGACTGTGGATAAGCATTAAAGAGTATTTAGAATAGCTTACACTAAACTTCTTGCAGTACAGCAGATTCCCTTTGTTTGGAATTCTGGCTCAAAAAAATTCCTATTTTAACTTTTTTCTAAAGATGTTCATATGCTAACTATATCACCATGAACCTCCCCAAAAGTCAAAGGAGCTAGCAGTATTGCCATGATTTTCGATTGATATCAAGCAATAGCAATATCAATATGTTTTTGTTTTTGGTGATGTTTGCAATAAAACCAAGAACGTTGGAGATTCAAGCGATGATTTACCAAATGTTATTACAAGCTAGCGTCCCTACTTATATACTATTTGCTACCAGAAGTACCGGCCAAGAATTTACAAAAGATTCTTGGCCGGTACATCCGGTAGCGAATAGTATATAAGTAGGGACGCCATCGAGGTTCTTGTCATTCACCTATTGGGTCTGATGATTATTGGAGAGTCCAATCAAAATCAATCACAACTTACCATCTTTTATGTATATTTACCCTCTTGTGAGTTAACAGTACGAGTGTAAATGTATGTTTTAGTGTTATTAGACATATATTGTTTTTATTTATGAAAGCAAGCCATTAAATATTTTAAATCAACTAAAGTTTAACATAAAACACATTGTAGTGTGATATATAAGACAGGACGAATTCAACTTCTTGAAGTAAAACACTTACCTCAATATGAGCTTTCTTAGTTGGATCTTCCAGCCAACATTTGAGGGCAGAGTTAAAGTCTTTAGTCACTGACAACACATTTGTAGTTTGAGTATAATGTATCTCTGATAGAAACAGCCACGGCAACAAGTGGTCTTGTTTCCTGTAACAACAATTCACAGACTCAGCTAGTTTTGAAGACGAATTGAAAATATCAACAAGCCACATCTGTTTAAGCTATTTATTTGAAAATTCAAAAGTATTATTGGTAAAACCAATTATAGTCTAAAAATTTGAAGTACTGTAATCAAAATGCAAATGACTGTACCAGTTGTCATCCCAAACTTGCTCCAGGTTGTTATGCAGTTGAGTTTCCTTCAGTGATTTGTTCAGTTCCTTCCATTCTGACAGATGAGCACAGCACTGGAAATAACACATTATAGTTAAAGAAAAGATTTAATCATAAAAAAAACTGATAATTAGACTCATTGTAATTTTTTTATCTGTTAAAAAGTAATGTAAATATACTTTGTATTCTTATGACATGTAATAAACATGAATCATATTAAACGAATTACTTACAACTGTAAATTGAACTCTATGAATAAGGCTGACATGTTCAGTTAAACTATATAAAAAATTAGGGATGGACGAGATTTTACTTTTAGTTCACATCTCACACGAACACACGCAATTTTCAAAATGTTCCCTGCATTGTGAATACACTGTGAATATATATGATGTATGGATACTTTTAAAGCATAAAGTAAATACTTACCTTAAATGAAGCTTCGTATAAGAAGTTTTCCGCAGCTGTGCCTGAATTAGACTGAAGACATTCAGTGTACTTCTTTTGAGCCTTCTTCCACCTGTAATCATTCGTTATTTGTATTGCTTTGACACTTCAACAATCACAAGATAATGTGTTTAGAATTACTTATGTATTATAATTTAAAAATTACAAAACTAAAGACCAGTACAAGAGTTGTTCGTAAAATTGTAAATTCAAGTCCAATATGAGCTCCGTAGCAAGATATAAAGTCTGACACCAGCGCCGTGTTCCTTGCTGGTCTCTCATATACAATGGTCTTGTTGCAGTTAACAATAACAATATGAGGGGAACTGATAACCCCACTAAATACAAATCACATGATTAGGTTTCAGTGGGAAGGAGATCATTACCTCTGTTGATCCTCAGCCTGTAGAGCTTCTCGCACATCTCTACTGCAAGCCTCTGCGATCTTGTCCTCAAACAGTCCTTGTACCACATCCTTCTCCTCCAGACTGTGGTAGATCCTGTCAAACACAACAGACAATTATTTAACAACATAACCTGTCAACACTTTTTAAAAGATGAATAAAACTATCTATACAAGCAAAGTTACAGTCACATGCCCCTTTCTTAAACTTGACTTTCAATACAAAAATATAATATAAATACTAAGAACAAATAACTAAACAAATGAAAAAGCAATAAAACAGTAAATAGTTAATACTTTAAATTACCACTATTTGGTAACACCAGTCAATACTTACTCTGCCAGGTACATCCAGTCGTTGTAGTTGATGTCATGATTCACCCTGACCCGCTTGTGGGGAGGGGGAAGAGTTTCCTCCGACATGAGTTTTGCCTCCACTAGCAGCGCCCCAACTGACATCTGGTGACTATTCTTGCTGACTGAAACAGGACCATTGCTTGGTATAGATTTAATATGGCCAACAAAATTTTAAATCATATTAGTCTGCCTGCATGGTAAAAGTTACTGCTTGTACATCATCACAAGAGACGCACAGTTAGTTTGAGATACATTTTATCAATACAGTAGTATATGATTAAAAATATCTAGAAGAATAAACTATATGTACCAATAACAACACTATACACTAAGACTATTCAGAAACCCCCAAAATACTTAGTGGCGTCCCACATGGGATTACTGGGACCATTACCTTTACTACTTCTCAAAAACAACTCCCAGAAAATCTACGAGGCTCCTGTCACATAGTCACATTATGTGACAGGAGCCTTGCAGATTTTCTGGGAGTTGTTTTTGAGAAGTAGTAAAGGTAATGGTCCCAGTATTCCCGTGTGGGACACCACTATGCAGAAAACACAGTCCTTGTTCTCACAAATAAAGTCAATCCAAGAATTAGAAAAAGACGGATTATGCATTTTAACAAGACCAATATCTACTGCAAATCAAATAACACATATTAATATTAATATTTCCTTAATTGAAATAAAACTGCACAAATGATTTTCAGTTACAGAAATGCCACCAGCAACAGCAAATTAAACCTTTGGCAGTATAGTTACTTCATCAATAATGTTCCACCAGCTTTGGTTTTTGGTCCATATTGTCAGTAGCACAGTTTGAGTTTATCAATGCATCCTAACCTTCTGCAATGATGCTGGCCGGAGAACGGCACTCTGAAGGTCGCACCAGACCCATCTCCAGCATGGTGGCTATGAGGGACGGCTCATGGCTGGTGGAGGTCTGCAAGATATCATCCACAGCTGACGAGACTCCTGACAAGTCTGTGTTGACATTGGTGTCCACCAGGGCCTTATAGATGGCCACCAACAGCTGGCGGGCAATCAGCTGGTCCCTCTATAACATATCAGCTGTTAGATGTACAGTGCTGTATGAGAATCTTCACTAGTTGTTTTTCAGTCTGAGTAGATTGCACTAGACTTTCTGTGCAAACAGCAACAACAAATGAACAACTGTATTCACGACTAAGAGAGGGTGTCCAGCAAGATGTGAAAATAAAGTTTGAGAACAGTTTCAAGTTCTAAGTTATTTTCATGTTGAAATTAACCATTGAAATTAAAACTAACTTATTAGTGCCTGCTTGTAAATTTAAACTGTCCTATTTCTAACTACTTCTACTTCTATTTGTAATTAATTATATCACCATAGTTTACTTTGATCTGAATACAAATTTTACATTTGTTTTACAAAACGTTCTCTACCAATGATGCAGCAACGTCCCCCGATCAGGCAACTATTATGAGCATCTCATGCAATCACGGAGGCATTGTGATAATTTTCGGTGATCACAGTTTTCCTAGTAATCAGACAACATTTAGGAGAACCAAATAAATGCCCAGTAGGCTATCAGCAACTGTCCAAATTTGTCCAGAAGTACAACTAACCTTTCCCAGTAATAAAAATTCACCTACAACTCCTAGCTTTCCTGGTTTCCTCTATGGCTGGACACTTTGTCTACCTTTGTTGCTACAAGTGTGTGTACCTTGGCTAGAGATCTGAGAGCTATCACCACGTCACTACAGGGTATCTGAATGTCTGGTAGGTCACCCCGACGGTAGTCTCTCATGAGCGTCACATCATTCTCCGATCTTTTCTGCCGCTCAGCCTTGTGGCGTTGCACCTGCGCTGACTGCTGTCTGTTACGCTCAGCATACTTGTGTCTTAACTTGTCTTTATTTAACAGCAGTCTAGTTGGTAATCTTAAAGTGTTTGGCTCTCCGTCTGTTGAAGGTAAAATAAAAATGTTTACACACTTTTTTTATATATTTTTTTTAATAGTACAAAATATTATTTAAGGATTCCAAACATAAAAGTTACGGTTTTGGTAGAATCGTAAAATTTAGTAGTAAAATATTTTCATGTGATGGACTATGATTAAGAGAAAGATAATTTAAAGTAATTTAGAAGCTTAAAGCTTATAATGATGGACTATCCATTATATGTTTAATATTTAATAATTTAAACATATACATCAATTACCTGTATTATCAGCTGTGACTAGATGGTCAGAACCAAAACTTGATCCTGGTTTGTGGATTGTCCCAAACTGTGCTTTGCTGGTGCTGGGTCCTGCGAAACTGTACAAACTCTGGTCTTGCACACTGGATATTGGCACTGTGGACAATACCAAAACTCATTCAAGTAGCAGTTATATAACTTATGGTAAACAAGTGGAAAAATAATTTTTAATAGATACCATAATAGAGTTTTAATACTCGCTTTTCTAACATTCCGTGTTATTCTAAGTGTCCTGCTGTTTCCGTGTGTTGTAACTGTACAATGTAGAAGGCTTGTAAAGACAACCACTTTCTGCCATCCTGCCTACACTCGGAATACAAAAGAGTCAAAAATCCGAACCAATTGGGACCGTTGATAGTTCAGTTCGGATTAGGTACCGATCTGTTCGGATTTTCAAACATAGCCTAGAAATGCCTAATATAGACACGTAACTGTACAATTTACTCACAAGAAGGTTGGAGAGTGGAAGAGTATGAAGGTGAGGGTTCCTGTGTAGCTCTAATCTGGAAGTTGATCTCAAACGAGCCCAAGGACAGTGAGTTTATTTGGCTGGCCAAGGTGTTGGCAAACATCGGCACAAACGTAGCATGTTGAGTGCGGAATGATCCAGACACGTTGTACTTCTGCAAAGTTATAGAAATTCTATCAGTATGGACTAGCTGCAGCCATTCTGTTATTCATGTGGAACACAGAATCTGTGTTGCTACAAAAATTCGATTAACTCTTTTGGTACAATGGTATTTTATGTACATAAAAGGTACAATACTGTACAATAAGTTGAAATTTCCCTTTGATTTTGTTAAAATGTTAACCTTTTTGACAAAAATCAATTTGACATTTTCACACTCTGTTGGTAGCTCAACTCAGCAAGATACAATTTTAAATAGAAAACTGACTAAATGTTTAACACAGGAAAGTGGTGTTCACTCAGTACCAGTAGTCAACGATCCAATAGCAAGTTGTTGAGAAGCAAATATTAATTTCTAGATTCCATCTGTACGTGGGCGAGATTCAAAGGATGAGCTAGAAGTTCAGAATTGTAAAATTTATTAAACAAGCAGTTTTTAAGTTACATTACTAACTAAACATATTGAACTATTTGAGGTTGGCTTAAAACCAATTAAAAAATAATAAAACAATTCAAGTTAAATGTTATGGCATTTTACCAGACCAACATATTTTCTGAAGGGGGTTAAATACCTCTAGTTTTCACTGTTCATTTTCTATTCTAGCGAAATTTAAAATGGATTTTTCCTCAATTGAATATATCGTTGAGTATAACCGACCTCAAACTTGCAGGCAGACAGAGGCTGATCGAAGATGGTTCGGTTGTATTCATCAGTCTGGCCACACAGATCCAGCAGCAGAGTAGTGCTGATAGTGAGAAACGCAGCCTCGCAAGACGGAGAGTACAGAAGCCGCAGAATGTCTACAAGACGACCCCAGCCACGCGAGGACAATCGGTCATTGGAGTTCCAGAAACTGTATACAAGGCTCAAGGTTAATGTCCAAATTCTATTACACTGTCACATTCCAAGTAAAACCACACATTATTTTTTCTTTTTCGTGTTGGTGCAAATGTTTTAGAGCAAAAGGGTGTGTGTTTGTCAAACGCTTTTTGGAAAAGAGGTCCAAACCCATTTTTCAAAGAGATTATTTCAATTCTTAGTCATTTTCACAACTAATAAAACAGTTGATTGTTTTTATATATAACTCAAACTGAAACTATTTTAACATTGGCAGATTATCCAAGTACAACAGACAGCAATTGAATTAGGTTGTACTTACGTGTGATATTTCTTTTGCAGTTTTTGGTCAGGGTCAACCATCCCTGATATCAACACTAGCTTGGCCTCCTTCACCTGAGCTACGGCATCTTCATCTGCCATATGTCTGAAACCATCACAAAATAAGAAGAGTTTAGTACAATTATTGAATACATTGTCAGTTTGTGCACTGAAGGAAAAGAAGTTAGTGATCTTTTGTAGTGTGAATCTCTTACTCTAAACACATTCATGAGGTGGACAGATGGCCGTAAATTACAATTTATAATAAATCTAAAGCAGAGAACAAATTAGCATTAGTTTATAAATAGTTATCAAGTATATAAGTAAGTAGTCTTAGCATAGTAAGTATGTCATATAATATGTGTATGGGTTTTATTCAACTGTATTTAACTTTTTTTACATCATACTACACAGAAACAGGTACTTTTCCATCAGTATTGACTATTGATAGACTGGAAAGTTGCCCTTTACCGTGCCTAAACACGGAAAAGTAACATTATGTACTTTTACCAAGCATTGCACGGTAAAAACTTTTTAATGTGCACTTAGTCAGCTGATGAAATAAGCAGCTAACTGCAACGGCCTATTTCATTTTCTGTAATAGGGCCTATAAATATATTATAATTTATGTTATATCCTAAATAAATTGTGTTATAGGTTTAAAATGTACTAATTATTCTGTGTATTATGATGTAAAGTATCGTACGTTACTCGCCCGGTAAGCTTTAACGTACTCGCACAAAAATCCCGGAATCGGCTACGCCTCCCGCAGGAAGTCATGCTCGCACGGTAAAACACCACTTAACGGGCTAGTAACGTAATATATTATAACATCCTAAGTCCTGACACAAGCCTTTCAGAACTTTTTATTTTTTACATTTTTACATTTATACATTTTTTTTGCTAGTAACTGATTACAGAAAAATAACTGTCATAAAATTTCTGATTGGCTTAGATTCTACCAGAAAGCTGAGTTCAACACAATTCAGTCATAAAAAATAATCCTAAGGTAAAAACCTTTTTTAAAAACTGATAGAAATGTCTGCCATTTGTACCTGTAATTGTCGTATATCCAAGAGACAATTTCATACACAACATTCCTGGTCTCCACTCGTTTGTGGTTACGCACAGACACCACAGCTGGGAACAGCTGTTTCATCTGTGATGGAGTGAGGTGAGGCTGAAGCTCCTTGATCAGTTCTAGAGCTGCCACTTGCCTGTCTGGGTTGCTGCGAGATTCAAACGGAATGAATTAGTAGATGTGTTTAACCTGAAGTGTGCAGTGAAGTAAGCAAGTTGGTGGTGCCTCTAAAGGGCCACATAATCAGTGAGCGCAAGTGCAGCAATGTTAATATCATTATATATTCCCTCAATTTGACGGAATTTTTTAAGCATTTATAACTGTTGTTGTCATTAAAATATTTATAGTCCATGTTATCTTTAATTATAAAAGTCAAATACCACTCACTGACTCACTGAATAAGAATAAGAATAATTTATTGCCATTAGACAAAGTTGTACAATAGACATTGTCAAAGCTATATACTAAAATGTAACAAGAGTCGTGAACATTATCACAGTGTTATGTACAACACATACATGTAAAACTAAGCCTATTTCACAGAAGAGATCACAGTTGTCAATTGAGAATAAATATCATTAAATAGTTTTTATAACAAAGTATGTTACTTAAAATCTATAAAATCAGTAGCACTTAATTGTAATAAATCATTATTGAGGAAGTATATTGTAAAGTTTTAGCTTTATAACTTTAGAGCTGATCGCTGTATCTCAAAAACTACTAACCATAAGAATTAGGAATTGGCATGGAGATTTTAATTAGGCTCTAGGTATGCAATAAGAAGCGTTTTCAAGAAATTTCATCAGGGCTCTACCCAAGTTAATTTATAAAATCTCTATCAATTGCTGTTACTCTTTGTCGTTGATTATTGCATATTTTCTTTCAAATGCAGTCACATGTAATTATTCATTCTAGCTTCTCGTATATATTATTTTCAGTCAAATAATTAAGCCATGCATGTTGAAAATTTATATATGTATGAGACATCAAGAAACTCCCAATGTAAAATGGTTATTGCCGTGTATAAATAATTAAACTCCAGAAAAACAATAGAACATCTTGAATGAACAGCCTACAGTCGGACTAATATTTTATTCCTGTACAACTCAACCATTTAATTAAAAAACAACTTTGTCAACTTAAATTACCTTTGGTACTTACGTATTAAACGGAGGCCACATTTTGTCAGCGCGCTGCGGCGGTTATGTTAGGTTGGGTTATCGTAAATATTATGTGTGTAGGACTTTCCTCGCTTCGTTATGAATCGATACCAGACGAGTTATACTTTCTATTATGATAACCCAACCTAACATAACCGCCGCAGCGCGCTGACAAAATGTGGCCTCCGTTTAATACGTAAGTACCTTACCTTTCATCCAGAACCATTCGAGGCAGACCAGTGATCATGGAAAATGCTTCGTGACGGAAGTCAAACTTTAATGCTGTCGTCAGAATTTCCAGTGTCTTAACAGAGAAGATTGACGGCAAATTCATCAAGCTGATACACTGTGCTTCAAATCTAAACAGACACATTTATCTTCATGATGTGATATAAATGACACTGGAGTAGCATATTTTAAAGGTTAAGGTTGTGAGGTTATGTAATAGCAATCCATTTTGGAGGATTAAATGTTTTACACAAGGTGTAATGTAGGAACAAAAAAAATAGGAACAGGTTTAATGGGCAAAACGAAATGTAGAATAACACTTTTTCCAAAAACACCTTGTTAGCAAGATACCTGCAATTTTTTAAAAAACTTAAAATTACTACCTCTTAAACTATAAGACCTAAAAATATCTTTATGAAATTGTACATACGCTAGTAGCAATAAACTATTGCAAAAAATAACAATTACAATTTTGTCAAATGGCAAAAATTTTAAGTTTTATAAATAAAATTAGGAAAGCTTAAAAATAGCTTTACACATTCATTCCTAGAAATCCATTTACTTTGTTGTTGTTTCATTTCATTTGAAAACAATAAAATTTCATTTGAGTAAAGAAAACAATAAAATCTTCTACTATAAGACATACTTTAACAAATACAAACCCTTTGACAATTTCAGGGTACCAGGCTTGTATTTTGTGGAGACAGGTGATAAATTTGTCGTTTTCCATTCCCTTTCCTGGATTAATGCATTCCACGACCTTGTGAAAAAATTCTAAGTCTTCTCCTTGAAGTTCCCCATCCTTGCTCAACACACTGTAAGAATTACAGAAACATTGAAATGTCATGTTTGTATAGGTGAGGTTTTTTTTTTAAGGGAGAGGAGGGAAAATGCTTTTACGCACACAGGTAGGCTATAGTAGATAAATGCAAACTAATTTTTATATTTTATTTGTTACATTTAACCTAAACATGTTCGAAGGGTTTTTAGTCTTCCATTTTAAGGTAAAAAGAATCAATATGACTATGGACAAAATAGCAAAATTTGGGCATGGAATTTACTGCAAACACAATATGCTAATTGAGTAGACTCTCGCTCATTCGGACTAATGTGACAGACGTCCGGTCCGGATTATGAAAAATCTGGACTATCGAGAGTCGAGCAAATACAGTAATGTATATAGCTGTTTTCTTTCAATTTTGTTCCATGTCCATAGTATTGATAGCCTGGCAAATGCAGTTACACCGGTAATAATTTTTACCGCCGTGTTATCTGAGTTTTTGATTATCCGAGGTAGTCTTGGTCCTGTTTAGCTTGGATAATCGGACTCCTAATGTACTGTGCCACTAAAAATAATATCACGATTGCCGATCCGAACTAGCGGGAGTCCGGACAAGGCCGATTCGGATGAGCGAGAGTACTGTATTAGTATTACCTTCAACTCTCCAAAATACTGTCTAGGATAAATCCGGAGATACGGTAAAAATAATATATGGTTCATATTACTTTTTCTTTTTTTCTGGTTTGTTAGTGTGAAACCTAAATGACACAGGAAAGTCTGTTTACCTTAATATTCTGCCAATCACCGTAGCACAGGGTTCATAGACTTTTTTATCAGCTCTCTGGTGATGGACTAACAGATATTCATAATATCTGGAACAAAATAAAAATCGCAATGATTTTTATAAATACTTAGCTTCTTTTTTTATCATAAGCTATATGAACATATTGCAATTTTAAATCCAACATTTGTACAAAGTTTCTATTTGCGTTCCCCCCTTTATTCTCAACACGACCAAAACCTAGTAGCAATTTGAATTTAGTGAAGATTTTTTTTTATGTGTATAAACTCACGTAGTTTTCCCAGTCTGGTTAAATGGTAGAATATTGTTAACGATGAAGACGTCAGCGAGAGATATGCCGACGTCGACCACTGCACGGCCAGTGGTGGAAGTTGCATCTTCAGATACAGAGGGCCTCAGCAGGTCCAGCAACTCTTGGTAAGGTACTTGCACAATTCTCTTCCACATCGTCACCACAATCCTATATGGACAAACAAGAAGAACAAATTATTACTTTGGCCTCCTAAATTAAAAATGACTACAATGAAACAATCACAAATAGGCCTACTAAAGTTGTGGTTAATCCATTTATTTATTATATGACACTGTATTCAATTCTGATCTGATCGTTCAACAGTTCATGTCATCACAAATAACATAGGTACTAAATACTCTGAAAAAAAGACTTGTTTAGTGTTGTTTGGCTGGGAAATGGATTTAATTATTTGTTATTTCTGGTGTTTTGAGCGATAATTTGATCATTAGATATTGGAGCAATAGTGCTCTGAAACTGGTCTCTTATTAAAAAAATGGAAAGATGACAACGATAAACCGATATAACCATTAGAACTACTCCGCTTCTTAAAATACTTATGAAAGATTATTAAAAATACTGAAACGTTGTAAGATGATAACATTTACATTTGATGAGTCTATTGACAGCAGTCCTGGAGTTCCATATTTGTTCAAGAAAAAAAGCTTTAGATTCCCTCATCAGACGTTAAAACATTACCCTAGTTCATGTAGCTTTCATAAAGTTAGTAATGTTTATAGCAGGAATACCTCACAACTTCTACATTGTATCTTGCAATAATCCCTTGTTCATTATCTGATCTCATGACAAGGATACGTAAAAACTCAGATGCTTTCAACTCATCTTCTATTCTTGAGTCAGGTACAGCAACTGCACGCCAATTGTAAAACATACGAACCTGAAATGTTATAAACCACTTAAATATTGAGTTTACTACAAAAAAGTAATAACCAGTGATATGAATGAATGAATGAATGAATGAATGATTTATTCCGTCAAATTTGCTACAAAGTACAATATTACCTTTTTACTATAATATTAAGTTTACAACATGAAACAATCAAAAACAAAACAAGAAATAACAATGTTGTGAACTTAATGTTGAATTATACTAAAACTAGCAAAACGAACATAATAAACTTATAATTTTGTAGCTAGTTATAATTGAATGGTCTTGTGGAATCAGCAGACATAGGCGAACTCTGCCTGTGCGTCTGCTGGGTTGCATATAATCTTTAATGACCTAAACTTGTTTGATTGAAGATTTAAACGGAGATTGAATAAAAATCGGAAAAAAAAGATTTTTTGAATTTTGCTTGAGGATGAATGATATGTAATGAAATGAAATGACATGAAATGGGTGATAGATAATTACAGTGGGAGCAAATTCAGCTGTGTTGTGTCCATATATATCCATATATTACTCCATATATTACTAATATGCTAGATAAGTAGATAACACTATTATATTTTTAAAAAAAACATTCTCCTCCAACTAATGACTTTTGCGTTGCTCACATTTTCTAAGACAAAATTAGTTTACCATATGGTCCATATGGATATCAATTTTATTTTAAAAATCAACTTAAACTAGTTTTGCAGTTCAAAAAATCCTAAACATATCCAATATCTACGACACAATTAACTCGCTTTAATTAGAATCTGATATGTTCAAACTTTGAATGATTCGGGTGACCGACCACACCCATATGACACTTGCACCACTTTCCCTATAGTGTGAAAAAAAACAAGTCACTAAAAAAAACAAGTCACTACCATTCTGTTTGTTTAAGGCTGTTTGGTAAAAACTCTTTTTATTTTACAGTGATTTAGTTTTTTTCCACTACAGTATTTAAATCATAATGCGAGCGTTTGAAACTCATTAGCTAATTTAATTCATTTTTGTATCAACTTAGATAATTCAGACCTTTTTTACTTTGGACAAGAATCTGGTCTGAGATGTCTGATAGAAAGTGAGTCTTTTCATTGATATGAAATGTTTAAAGAATTCAATATGATCAAAGGTTCATAAACTATACCAAATACTAAACATAAGAAAGGTTATAAACTTCAAATTATACTCACAATGTCATGCACTAAGTAATTCATTTCCACTCCAAAACAGTTATCAATCACACACTGTATGATGGGTGATATCCAGAAGTGAGCGTATTCCTTGAAGTGGCTTTGACAGTTGAGGATAAGCTTGACAATGAAAGCTCGGCAGTTATCAGGTTGGTCGGGAGCAGTTAACGAAGCCCGCAAATGTTCCATCCATTGTGGGGGTTTGGGACGCTGAGTAACAACAAACTGTTACACAAGTCAGGAACGTAATGAATGGCAGTAAAATATATCATCAACCACCAAGTTTAAATCCACAAAAGATTAAAATCCAGTTAAAGTATTAAAGACTAGGATTCAAAGGTAAGCGCGCTATTTCTTTTTTTAAGCCAAACATTTATGGTTACTGAGAGACCTGGTTGGTTACCACTCACTCGTTTCTGTGATAGTAAGGAAAAATATGTATCAAAATTTCAAAAGTGACATTTTAAAATTTTCCTTTCTGACAGAAACTAAGGATTTATGGACCAATAAAAGACGGAGACTCGTGGAGAATAAGAAAAAGTAGGGAGTTGAGGGAATTGTATAGGGAACCAGATATTGTGGGAGTAGTAAAGAGTAGAAGGTTGAGGTGGCTGTGCCATATTCAACGCAGAGGTGAGAGGGAGATGATAAAACAAAACAAAACAAGTGATAAGAGGTACTCAGGAGGGCAGGAGACCATTAGGAAGGCCAAGAATGAGATGGATTGACGAAGTATACAAAGGACCTAAGGTGTATGGGAGCAGACCTGGAGCTGGCAGAGGACAGAGGATCCTGGAGGCACCTGGTTGACAAGGCCAAAGACCGACTTGGTTTTCAATGGCCACAGGAGTAAGTAAGTAAGTAAGTTTCTGAGAGAAACAAATGTCATTTTAGTCTGTAAAAATAAAATTGTTACGATTCATATTAAAAATACTAAGTTGTTAGTTTTATGTCTGCAACTCATTAAATATAAACCAAAATAAATACAAACCTGTTCTTTGGCAGTATTGCTGGGGAATGTCTTGCACAAGTGTTTGATGACGGATATCAACACGCTCATACTCTCGTGGTTGTTGAGGGAGTCTTCCTCCAGTTCTAATCTAACAGTGCTCGGACCACCGTCTTCCTTGTTCTGAAAATTTAGAAATTCAGGGAGCGTTTTCAAGTACAGTTGCAGTTAGTTTATTATCTGATTATTTTATAATTCTTACCTAACTGTCGCTGTAGTGCACTGTAGTGATAAGACCTTTCTACAAGTACTATACAGAATTCTCAGCAGTAATAAAATTTAATCAAATAAATAAAAAATTCTAAATCTTACTGTTAAATATGGTATTAAGAGGTAAAATTGTGAGAAATACCTTTAGATCCTAAAACTGAAGATCCATTAGGGTTTTGGTAGAACAGGAACAAGATGAGCAGAGAAGCGATGGCTCTGGCCAGAGTGACGAGAATCGAAGGACCACAGATGAAAGATGATGTTGAGAAATGACTATTGTTGTGTAGTATGTAATTCTTCACTGATTTAAATTAAAACTCTTCTTCATTAATAAAAAGAAAGCAATTCACTACTCATGAATATTCTGGACTGTACACGAAAATTTACAACACATTTACTTTAAATAAAAATATCTTCTTGGATCCTAGCTTGACACTTGGTACTATAAATTTGGAATCCATATTTAAATGAGAAATGATGAAATAATGCACTTGGAGCGGTAAGAGAGAAAGAGAGATTAAAATATTTAATATGAACTAAACCAAAAGGTAAGCACTGTGTACTGTGAGAGAGGTGAGTCTAAACTGAACTGACTAGTACGAAGTGCTGTAGTGAACTTTGGACAGTGATGTCATCATATCAGCTGTTGTATCCTTTCAATAACTGAACTAAAAACTTGACTTGAATGTTAATACTACTTGATTAATTGTTTATATTTGACTGTATATAGTTCATATGTTATTAAATAAATATTTTATTAAATGTCCTTAGTTGAATTACTAAATATTTAACATACCGGCCCCCCCTGAACCCCTGGGTTCTGAAAACAACACAAAAAATGAGAAAATCAATAAAAAAGGGGGGTGGTAACTCCTCTTCACTATTCCATAGGAAGGACAGACACCTTTGTCACAGGACGAGAGAGGTGTCCACTTGCGGTCTTCAGGTGCACGACCCGTACTATTCCATCAGTACCAGGTGAAACGGAGAGAACTCGTCCAAGCTTCCAGGAGAGTGGAGGCAAGTTGTCTTCATGAATGACAACCAAGTCATTGACTTCAATATTCTTCTTGGGGTTGACCCATTTATTTCTCTCTTGAAGAGTGTACAGATACTCTTTCTGCCAGCGAGCCCAGATATGTTGACTGAACTGTTGGACTAACTGCCAGCGTTTTAATCGGTTGATAGGAATGCTACGCAAGTCAGGTTCAAGAGGTGTCATAAGAGGACCACCTACTAAAAAATGACCTGGTGTCAAAGCTTCTAGGTCCGAGGGATCAGAAGAAAGAGGAGTTATAGGCCTAGAGTTCATCATTCCTTCAATACGGGTGATTAAAGTCGAAAACTCTTCCAGTGACAGGGTCTGTTGTCCAATGACTCTTATTAGGTGAAATTTCACACTTTTGACGGCCCTCTCCCAAAGGCCTCCCTGATGAGGTGCATGTGGAGGTAAGAAGTGAAATTTAATATTGAAATTCTCAGCGTAGCATTGTACTGTGGAATCCTTGATTAAATTTTCAAAGTTGCGTCTGAGTTTTTCGGATGCACCTGTGAAATTTGTAGCATTGTCACAGTGAATATCTGAAACGATTCCTCGTCTGGAGACAAATCTGGTAAGAGCGGCTAAATAGGCATCCGCTGTTAGGTCGGTTACTACTTCTATGTGTACCGCCTTAGTAGAGAAGCAAATAAATATACAAATATAAACCTTGATAGGTTGAACTCGTCTTAGTAGATGTTGCTTCACAAAGAAGTGTCCTGCATAATCTACACCAGATATGGAAAATGGCCTTGAAGGTGTAACTCGATTCATAGGTAATTCCCCCATGAGTGGAGAAGAATGAGGAGGTTTACATCTGAAACATTTTATGCATTTAAAGATCCTAGATCTTATTAAGCTTCTAGCACTGAGAATCCAGTACTTGTTTGCCAGCATAGCCTGAGTTAGAGTTGGACCAGAGTGCAAATATAAGACATGATGGTGGTCAATCAAAATATCAACTAACCTATGACCTTTAGGTAGCAAGACGGGGTGTTTGTGATCTTCAGAGATATCAGCCTTGTTTATTCTTCCCCCTACTCGAATGAGGCCATCTTTATCCAGATAAGGAGCTAGGCGTCTAATGCGTACAGAGCAAGGTTTATTGGATTTCAAACATGAGATTTCTTCAGAAAAATATTCTCGTTGAACCAATTTACAAATCAGGTTATGAGCCTCTTTTATCTCCTGAGAAGTTAAATTCCCAATTTGTTTAACTTTATTTCTGGTGTTATGAATGAAGCGCAGCAGGTATGCGGAAACATGAAGTAGTGTTGTCCAAGATGAGAAGCGAGTGAGGAGAGAAAATGGTTCATCCGGAACAGCAGAGAGAGTGTTAACTGTGAGAATCTTAGTTTCAGGGATAGACTCTTCAGGTAAAGATTTACAGACAGACTTTGGCCAATTTTCTTCAGAGTTACACAACCAGACAGGTCCATTCCACCAAAGTGTGTGGTTAATCAAATCTTGTGGGGCGGTACCCCTTGACCTAACATCCGCTGGATTTTCTAGTGATGAAATATGTTGCCAAAATGAAGGTGGGATGTTTTCCTGTATTTCTGCAACTCGATTTGACACATAAACCTTGAGTCGATAAGAGGGCATGCCAATCCATGAAAGCACGATTGTGGAATCGCACCAAGCTGTGTATGAACTAATCTTGCAGTGAGGTGAGAGAAGTTGTATACAGTAATTTAGGAGCTTAGACATCAGGTGTGCTCCGCAGAGCTCCAAGCGAGGTATGGAAATACGCTTCAGAGGTGCGACTCTTGACTTCGCTATCAGAAGATAAGTCGATATAATTCCTTGTGAATTTACAACTCTCAGGTAAACACAACTACAATATCCTGCTTCACTTGCATCAGAAAAAGCATGTAGCTGAATATCTTTAGCTGAAGAAAGTCCCACGTAGCGAGGTATCTTGAGCATTTCAATATATGGAAGTTCATTGGCGAACTTGTTCCAAACTGATATAACGCTGTCGTCTAGGGGTTCATCCCAATCGAGACCAAGTGTCCATAAGTATTGCATGAAGGATTTGGACCAGAAGGTTACAGGAGTTAACCATCCTGACGGGTCATAGATCTGTGATATCACACTTAAAACAATTCTTTTTGTAGGAGTTTCCTTAATATTTTGAGTTCCTACAGAATAAGAAAAAACATCTTCATTAGGAATCCATTTAAGTCCTAAAACACTATGAACTGGTTGTTCGGGAGCTCGAAAACCAATAGGTTTTTCTTTGTGATCTTCAGGGATCGACTGTAAGAGTAATGGATTATTCGAAGACCATTTTCTTAACTCGAAACCTCCTTTTTTGAGTAACTGAACCACATCATTTTTCAACAAAAGAGCGTTTTCTACGCAATTACTACCCAATAGGGCGTCATCGACATAAATCTGATCCTTTAGAGCAGTTGCGGCTAGAGGATGATTTTTTCCTTCATCAATAATGAGTTGTTGAATGACACGATTTGCCAAGTAGGGCGATGATGTGAGCCCATAAGTGACAGTCGCTAGCTGATAGATTTGAAGAGGCATTTTATCATTCTCTCTCCAGAAAATAAGTTGAAATATCTGATCAGATTCCTTTACAAGGACTTGTCGAAACATCTGCTTGATGTCGCATGAAAAAACAACCGCATGTCGGCGAAAGTTGAGAATGATGTCACATATGTTGTTGTGGAGTTTTGGTCCTTGATGAAGAATACTGTTGAGAGACAGAGATGTTGATGTAGGTGCTGATGCGTTGAATACTACCCTTAATTTTCCATCTTTAAAAATTCCATGATGTGGAAGGTAGTAATGAGGATTATTTTTAAGACGTGGTGACTGACAGAGTGTCATATGTCCCGAAGACAAGTAATCTCTCATAAAATCAACATAAGTTTCCTTGAAATCAGGATTAGAACGAAATTTATTCTCCAGAGACCAGAATAGGGATTTTGCCATTTTGCTCGAGTTGCCTAATGTTGACGGATCGTCTGAGAAAGGCAAAGAGACAATATATCTTCCTTCAGGAGTGCGAGAGTGCGTAGATACAAAATGTTTTTCACATTTTTCTTCGGCTAAGGATTGCTTGCTTGTAAGAGGGGGTTCCTCTACAGCCCAAAACTGTTGGATAGAGGTGTGAAGATCCAAACTATTGGTGGTTAAGAGTGTGACTAATCCATGAAATGAATTTTTGCAAGTTGAGGCAACAGGGGTCGATCCTAAGAGCGCATATCCAAAAATGGTGTCAATTGCTACAGGCATATTCTCACCAAGTGACAAAAACTGGCCTTTCACAGAGGAGGCAAAAAGGTCAGCTCCAATTAGAACATCAATAGGAGCGGGTTTATCAAAAGTAGGATCGGCTAACATTAAATGTTGCATCTGTGAGCGAACTTCAGGAGTGATCTTAGCTCGAGGTAAATCTGGAGTGATATTATCCAAAATGAAGACAGGGTGAGAGCTTGCCAATACATATCCACTAAGGGACTGGAGAGTGACATGAGTTAACCCTTTTGTTTTCACCTGAGCAGACGAGATGCCATTAATAAGCGTTTTATTAGCATGAGAGCGCTTAATCCCTAAAGACTGAGCACATCTTTGAGTAATGAAGGTAGACTGAGCAGCAGAATCTAAAACTCCCCTACAAACTAGGGTCTTACCTTCGCTTGATTTTACCACAATTAAAGCAGTGGCAAGAAGAACTGTGTTCTCTGTATTTGTCAAACCAACAAAACCAGATTCATTTTTATTTGAGTCAGAACTTGGAGCTCGTTTGTCTGTGTTACCTTTAGACACATTAGGAGAGGGATTATTTTCAGAATCCATAAAATGCAAAAGAGAGTGATGTTTTCTTTTACACGTAGAACATGTACGCCATGAATTGCATTCCTTTACCTTATGCTTATCGCCAAGACAGTTGGTGCACAAATTTTTGCCTTTAACAAAATTATACATTTCTTGTGAAGTCAATTTAAGAAAACCTTTGCATTGATAGATTTTGTGATCTGCACCTGCGCAAAATGTACAAACAGTGCGAGGAGTTGCAATAAGCGCCGATTTATTTGAGCGCTGAGGGGGTTTTACTTGAGTGTGGTGGCCTAAGGTACCCTTAAGAGATGATCCCACATTAGTAAGATTAGCTGCTTCAAGATTTACACAGTGAGACTCAATGTACTTGGTTAACTCATCTAACTTAGGAGTTACAGAGTTATCACTTCGACTCTGTTCAAAATGATGGCGAAAATCAGAATCAAATTTTCTTAACAAGTGAGAGGTCAAAATTAAATTTTCCTGAGAAATTTCTTCATCTAGAGCTTTAAGTGCTTCAATGTTTTCATTTAAAACAGACAAAAACCTTCTAAGTTGCTTCACTGAGGGATTGTGAAGAACTGGTAAGTCTAACACATTGTTGACATGAAGAGAGATTAGTAATCTTGTATTCTGATACCTTTTAAGTAGAGATTCCCATGCAATAAAATAATTAGCATTAGTCATAGGGATGTTTTTAACAACTGAAAGTGCCTCTCCCTCAAGACAGCTTAACAAATAACTCATTTTTTCAACACCAGAAATACTATCATTTTTATGAATAGTATTTTCAAACAAATTTTTGAACGCCATCCACTTTTCATGTTGACCTGAGAAGGTACCAAGTTGAAGTTTAGGAAGCTGTACACTAACCTTAGTTGTAGCTACTTGGCTGATAGCTGCATTGGAATCATCCAGGTTTGGCTGGCTCGACTGGTTAGAGCTTGGGGAAGGTATCAAGTTCACACACAAAGAGTGAATAGACACATAGAGATCACTTATTTCATCTTGTAATGTTGAAATTGTAGTGATATTTTCACTTTCATCTAATTCCTCAGGTAAAGGCACAGTGCCGAACAACTTATTCACTAATTTGTCAAAATCATTATTTTTGGCTGTAGCGGTGGAATCCAAAAGAGTGAGCTTTGTTATAAGTTGAGGAGTGATAGGTTCCTTTTCGATAGCAAGCACTTTTGCTTCAATTGACTTAAGCCTGGCTAGCACAAGCTCAGATTGCTTCACAAAAGTTGAGAACCTCATTTTGAATAAGTCTTAAATTCAATAAAATTCCAAAATAAAAATAAATGCAGATTAAAATAAGTTTATAATGAGCAAAACTTATTTAAAGACAGCCAGGATTCGTTGTATTAAATATTAATATTAGTCAACTTGAAATCAGAGAGAAATATTCAGCCATAGTATAGGCCTATAAAAAGTTTAAGTCCCAGAAAATATCTACCTGCAATTATTTCCAGATAATAAATTTGAAATTCAATAAAACATGTTATTTCAAATACAAACTGTATTAAATGTTCAATCCGTATTAATAAACATTCTTCTGTCACTTTAATTTAAAAGTGTAAGCAAACAATTGAGGTTATGAAAACATAAACAAAGTCTTGCATAATGACATTTAAGTTTTCGTTTCTATCCATCAGCAGCGCTAGTGTTGATCAGCTGTGAAGTTGGTATGACTTCCATGATTTTCTGAATATTCAGCAACAAGAGAGAAACTTGTTTCACATTACAGGGGGGAGAGAGGGGGGCAGACAGGATGCAGCCCGATAATGCACAATAGAGAATAGACAAACTATGCATGAAAATACAGGAGTTGTAGACAGTACAGTCTGAGAACAAAATTTTCTGTCTGGAACAACAAAACTTTATGTGTTATTTCACAAATTACTGCAACAATTTAATAAATTGATAATAATGTGATCAAAAATATTTAATCCTCTTGTTAATGATACTTAATGTTGATGACAGATTTATTCAATTAATTTATTCAGTTCAAATAAATACAAAACTTAATAGTCACAGTAGATTATTTTCCATAGGCTGGGAAACTTCCGGCTCGAAGGACCATGTTAAATATGGTATTAAGAGGTAAAATTGTGAGAAATACCTTTAGATCCTAAAACTGAAGATCCATTAGGGTTTTGGTAGAACAGGAACAAGATGAGCAGAGAAGCGATGGCTCTGGCCAGAGTGACGAGAATCGAAGGACCACAGATGAAAGATGATGTTGAGAAATGACTATTGTTGTGTAGTATGTAATTCTTCACTGATTTAAATTAAAACTCTTCTTCATTAATAAAAAGAAAGCAATTCACTACTCATGAATATTCTGGACTGTACACGAAAATTTACAACACATTTACTTTAAATAAAAATATCTTCTTGGATCCTAGCTTGACACTTGGTACTATAAATTTGGAATCCATATTTAAATGAGAAATGATGAAATAATGCACTTGGAGCGGTAAGAGAGAAAGAGAGATTAAAATATTTAATATGAACTAAACCAAAAGGTAAGCACTGTGTACTGTGAGAGAGGTGAGTCTAAACTGAACTGACTAGTACGAAGTGCTGTAGTGAACTTTGGACAGTGATGTCATCATATCAGCTGTTGTATCCTTTCAATAACTGAACTAAAAACTTGACTTGAATGTTAATACTACTTGATTAATTGTTTATATTTGACTGTATATAGTTCATATGTTATTAAATAAATATTTTATTAAATGTCCTTAGTTGAATTACTAAATATTTAACACTTACTTCAAGAATTTATATAAGCCGTACGGATAGCAGTTACGACTAAATAAGGATTATATTTTTTTTTTCACCACCATAATTATCCTAAAGCCAACTGGCAAAGCCCCTAAACTACACGTCTGGTTTCTTTATACATTATTATTAGTTCCAAGGTGGTTTTTAAATGTGTCAAACAACATTTCAACATTTTTTAATGTTGCGAGACATGTGCCTCACCATACTGCAAACATATGGATCAGGATTATGCTCTGGGGCATGTACCTGCAGTCCTGCACAAATGCCTCACAATTAAAATTTCAGGCACATGGAGACGAAAATATGGTAATAATTTGAAACCTTCCTTTCCCATTATCTGTTGCAGCTTACATGTGTTTACTTACATTTTGTGTAACTATACCATTTACGCCATTCATTTAGAAATTTAAAAAAAACTAAAAAAAGTGTGACTGATGTGACTGTGACTTTCTACATTCTACAAGTTGATGATTTACCATAACTTCCTTCATTCTGTCCTCATTGCGCACATTATACATGGAGAAGTCAAAGCAAGTGATGTCTTCTTGCAGGGATGAGCTGAATAGTGACTGAGAGGGAAGATAAACAACATGATTCTGATTAGAACCTTCCTCTCCAATTGACGCAAGGCTGCGCATCTGCACCAGCTGTTTCTTGATCTTCGGGTACTGAACAGAAATATACATGAGTTTGGTTGAAATATAATGATTGGAAAGCTTAAAACAGAGTGTTAGAGCTACCTAACAAACATAACATTCCCTAAGTTAATCTTTTTACTTGAGTGATAAATTAAAGATTTTGAATAAAATTTCCATTTTGATGCTTTCATGGTAATAGTACATTTGATTTGAAATTGTCTTAAATTATCTATACGTTATTGTTATTGTATAAATTTAAGTAGCTAATTTTCCCTCTAAACCTAAATTTACTACAAATCTGAAATCTCAATATATATTTTATGAAAAAGCCGTTAAATTAATTTAATTTATTTTAAAATGTTGATTAAATATTACAAGACACTGCCCTCTAATATCCCAGTATTATTAACAAATTAAAGGTATTAGTAATTTAAAAACTTTACTATAATAGACAGTAAAACGTTCACGGTGAAACTAATGGTCCAATGAAAGTGGTTTATATATTGTCAAATTCTTACAAAATCACAGCTGCTAATCACATTAGTTGTCTTAAAATTGTTAATTTTACTCGTAATAAAGGTCAGTTAAGTTAGAAAATTACCAATAACCTTAATACTATGAAGAATTACAAATGAACTCCATATTAGTACCAACCTATTTCTTACAGAATAAAAAAGACTTACATCATTGAAAGCAATCGGGAAACAGTATTTGGGCTTGACAGGAATGATATTACGCCAAATAGCCTTCCCAGGCTCTTCTTTGAAGAGAAAAACGTTGAAGTGTTTCACCTCTAGGTTGGTATTGCTGACAAATAATGCCAGGGCATTGTAAGCAGCACACTGATAGCGACGAAACAGTTCCTGTAGCTCTTCATTACATAATCTAGACGTTCGCACAAAATATAGCCTGAAATGATACGTAGAGTTTTAAAAATGGCTTCGTTTGGATACAAACTTTTTAAGTTTAATGACAAAAAAGCTAGGCTACAAAAGTTGTACTTTAAAAAAATTTTCAAAAATAAAAGTTAAGATTTATGTGATTTTTCAATAATAAAACAAAATGTAATCTTATCAAAATAGTAGCTTAGTTATTAGTTATTTTTGTAACTAGTGTGCGAAGTGGCAGTTTGCACTCGTGTTACACATTATATTTTTCCTACAGTTACTATAAATCATATAAATAATTAGTCTTTCAAACACTATACAACACGTTTTTAGGTTAGGTTAAATCCAAGCGTTGAACGAAATGGGAAACGCTGCACCAGCCGGTTGTAGTTGTAGTATCTTTAAGTGTTGCCAACTTATTTTCAAGCGTACACGTATTACGTGCCTAATAGAAGCACACTGTTTTGTGCTGTTTGGTTGGAATACTGGAGTGCAGCAAAAATAAATGAGTGTGGCAAAAGTAAGTAAATACATCAAATAGCTACTCATGCCATAACCAGTGCAAGGAAGCCCACCTTGTCAAGTAACTGTTGGAAAAAAATGTTTATTGCTCTAATTAGTAATTACTTTGATTGGAAAATCTTTGTTTACGTTAGCTATTATAGAAAAATTACTAAAGGCTTTGATTCAGGTTTATAGGCATTTAATACTGTAGTAGCATGAAAACAAAATCTATAAATAAGGTGTCTCACACTATTCTACACTCACTTAGCACTCATTTTCATCATTGGATTTAATATTTAAAATAAAATAAAAATTATAAAAATAAATCCGATACATTATATGGGTGTTTTATGTATGATTGATTTTTATGATAACCAAGACTTAATTTACTCAATCACAAACAAAAATGTTAACTAACTACCTGCCAGTGAATTTGGAGAGCTTCTCCTTAGCAGCCTTGGTCACTGGGTGATTCTCATCCTCTAGTTCTATTTTGGTAATACGGTTGAAGAGAGGTTCCAACAACTGACAAGCTCCTATTTTGCTTGCAAGTTGCTGCTTACTCTGTGGATTTGATTGAGGCAAGTGTAAAATGACAATAATACTATTGCAGTAGTACACTACACTCCTTTCACAAAATTTAGGCGGTTTGAGGGGAAGTTACCTTAATACATTTTTACCTAATGTATGTTGCAGCTGATTGACGGTTTGAATAAATGTTTGTTTTATATCAGCTGTTGAGCTTTTGTTTTAAAGGTAGGTTCAAGTGGAGGAGGTAGATTTCTTCCCCTAAAACAGCCTAAATCTTTTAATGGAATATATTTCATGGTACAACTAAACGTGTAGTTTTAGTGTGTGAACCATTGATTGTATTGATATTTTTCAATGTTCTGGTTATCATTGTAAACAGATGATCTATATACTACTTATATTTTTATGTACAGCCTAAGTAAAAAGGATTTTTTTAATTTAGTGGTGTTTGTTACAAATATTGACTCAATAGGGTTCTTTATGTTTACACTTTAAAAAATCTATGCCCTGTGGCAAGATGTTCTACTATCTACACTAGAGGTGTACAAGAGCCTCAATCTTCGAGCCGTGTCTGGCCTCCAAGCTCGAGAGATCGAACACGAAGTATAGAATAGAGCTTGAGTTGAGCTTTTACGATCAAATCGTATAATGCGACTGCAAGTTCGCGTGATAGAACAATTCACGATAACGGAAGACTATGAGGACAACCATGGCCGCTGGAGACAATAAAAATGTCTCTAAACCGTAGGAGTTGTTCACGCTTTTGCCACGATCTCGGAAGACTATGATGACGTTTCCTTGACCGTAATAATAGGATACCAATTGGATAGGAGACCATGATAATGTCTACAAACAGCAGGAAATGTTGACGATTTTGCCACGATCGCAGAAAACGTTTTTTTTTTTACTGCGGTAGATGAGACGACGATAATGTCTACAAACCGCAGGAGATGTCCCCGATTTTCCCAAGATCGTGGAAAACTGTGTCAACGTTTCCGTGACTGCGGGAGTTATTATTATTCAGAAATCTCTTTTTTAACTCTTAAAAGTATTTACTTTACTATCTACTTATTCTAACTGTCACGAAACTCATTGATGAAATTGGTAAAAAAAGTTTGTTTACCAATATTGGAATAAGCACAGAGGGAGAAATATTGCTAACATTTTGATAATTCAAGTATAAACTAAGACATATAATTTATGTACTTTCTAATTAATTGTTACAAATAAACTTACTTTCCATGTGTTATCACTCTGTGTCCTCAGTTTTTCATTTGCGACATCCATAATATTTGTAATTGTGTCAGCATAGAACTGTGTGACAACTGTCTTTGATGCATGGCACAACAGAGTTATCAGAATCCTAGTGACAAATAATAGTTCGATAAACATCTAATTTTTACAAATGACCTTGTAAAATGTAATTTAAAATTAAAATACAGCCAATAGATTCAATAATCATGTTATTTCCAAAGACTTCATTTTACAACTGATAATTTTGAAGGAATCTCGAATCACATTACTACACCATAAAAACATGAGTTTTCAAAAATGAAGACATTTTATTATAAAAAGTTACCTCGACATGAGGCCCAATCTGTACTCCACATCTTTAGTCTCATCCATGAACTTATTGTAGACTGTTTTCAATGCTTCCATTTGTACATCATCTTTATGCCTGTAACAAGTTTACAAATTAGCCATGAATTTAAATTACCTATTTTATAGATAATATAGATATCCATCCATCATTATTTACGAGAGAGCCTACACATGGCTTTTTCTTCCTTTAAATTAATGGTTGTGTTAGGAAAAATACATCAATGAGAAAATTTGCAACTTATTTAAGTATAATAAAGAAAACGCCAATGGGTCAGAGACAGCTACATTAATACAACAGAAACATGGTCGTTGCACAAACCTGTAGGATTCTGTATAAAGCTATCTTCATAGTTTACTTGGAACTGGATAAGACTGCATGAATAATAATACTGAGTTTTAATAGAACAGATGTTATAAACAGCTGTTACGATTATTGAACCTAGAGTGCAATGAATAAAACTAGAAATCCAAGTTAAATTGTAACCAGTTTAAGAATTTTAAAAAAAATCAACGTAGATTAACTGAGCCATTGAACCTTCGATTCAGAGCACTTTTTAAGAATTATATTAATGTTTTTAGTTAAATACAACAACTTTTAACTATCCATTCCAAACTCAAAAGACGAACATTTATAGTAAACTAAAGCATGCTTTATGTCCTATCAACTACCGGTATCAAATTAACTAAAACTAATAACAAAAATAAAATTTTTTGTCTTTCACTCTATAAAGTGGCTCATTCAACTGGGCTTTTTTTAGTAAAATTTTGCTACAGGTTGTCCATATAGATTCACTTCAGTATCCAAAATTGTTTAGATAATACTGCTGTCGAAATAAGGTGTAATAAACATCCGTATCTGATTTGTACTAAAATATCTCCATATGGTTTCATCTAGTGTGCAAGCTACAATCTGACTATTAACTAGACATTCGATTCCCATGTTAGAGTTGTTGCCAGTTTTTAAATCAAAATCATTGTAGTTTATGTGAGCCTCCAACAGATTGTGCTGATTTAAATCACTAATTTCTGTTGAATACACAAACCTTTTCACAAAGTCTAACTAATGGAATGACTTATGGTGAGATATATTAACTTTTTATGAGACATCAACTTAGTCAGAAACAATAAATAAGGTAGAAAACATAATTTTAGACCCTAGTGCATTAAGAATAAGAATATGTTTATTGTCTTTCGGGCTACATAAGCATTGACAAAGTCATATATTCAGCAGAAATGCCAAGTCACTATTTTAAGTTGACTAGTCATCTGTGACTAGCTCACATAACTATGTCCTCTTTCAGAAAAAATTGGCTACAACTGTTCCATATAGATGGGATGTCTACTTCAGTATCCAATAGACAATGGAAATCATACAAAAACAAACACAAACTTTGTCACAAAGTCGATCAACGCAGTTTGCACAGCGTCTGAGCAGTAGTGGTCCTTGTCAGCCGCAGACGCACAGACTACCCGCAGCACAGGTATGCTGCCCGCAGCCAC